ACGTAGAATTATGGGCCGAGGCGCCAAAAGGTTCATACGAATGTAATAAGATATTAAAGATGAGGAAGAAAGAGGAACCTAGATACATCGGATGGAAGGAGAGAAGGGTTCTTATATGCAAGGAAGTAATGACAGATGAGATCGAAGCCCAGATCCCAGATGCCAACAGGTGCTGGCCAGCCGTGCCATCACACTTTCCCTCTACTTCATTTTTGTAGCGTGCCACCAGAAGGGTATGTGAGGATAGGCAAATTTATAAGAATCTTACAAATTCTAGCATCTTCTACTGATATTGAGATGATGTTCTATTACGAGGAGGCAAGACTATTCCATCCCTTCATCCTCCTTTCGCGGGTGCCTGTGCGGATCAGATACTGAGATTAGCCCGTGACTACCTAGTCATGGCCAAGGTTGGTACTATAGTACTGAGGCCTCGATTTCCCTCGATTAGATGAGTAATTCCTTCCTTGATAGTACTTGGGGGTGTAAGGGTTTTACGAGGTATACACGCAGGTAGGCCTTGGTGAAAGTTGTAATATTCAACAAAGAGGAAAAGGGAAGTTTGTGCCAGTATGGCATAGAGCTTACAGCCAAATACACAAGAGAGGTGCGGATATTGAAGGTGCTAGAAATGCCAAGGTCACAAATGTAGTTCGTGCGGCGCACCCCAGGAGTGCACCCAACCAGAGAGCAGGCCTGGCTTACATAGGGTTCAAGCCAGGCAGACACCCCTAGGCGCCAGCCCCATGATAGGGAGAGCCAACACACTTATAGTAGCGTCGTGATTTTCGCTACTACCATACGCTTTATTCCAGAGCCTTTTCAGATGCAAGAACACTTGTGATCTATTACGCGCTGGAGTCGGCTATAGGCGTAGGTTCTTAAGTTCTAGTCGGACTCGCCTGCCCAAATATCTCGGGTTCTTACGTTTCGTAGTGTCGGCGGGGACGTTTTAATTGCGAGAAGGACGGCTCCCAATCCATCGTCCTGCGAGCGTAGCTGAGAGACATTGCAGTAAGAGCAAAGGGAATAATAGTTGAGTATTTTTTCATTGTCGGCCTGGATGTTGCATCGGCTGTTGATGCGCTGAGGTTGAAAGATGCAGCTTCACCCTGTACGACGATGCTGAATGGGCACAACAGGTACAAACATCCCCTCCAACTTAGTCAAGTTTACCTGGGAAGCTCGTAAAAAACGAGACACCTAGTCACCGTCTGCTCCCATAGAACCATGGTATTGAAGCCTAATTTAGAATTAACTTTCAATGTGCTAGTCCGCCTCATAGCCTTAGCCGCGTTTGGCGTGAGTAGGTGGAAACTGTGTATTTGGTGAGCTTGGCATGAGTGATGGGATGAAAACGCTTCTGGAAACGCCGGCGTTTCTACACCTCTGCCGGCGTATGAAAGGTTAATTTTTGACTTTTGCCACAACGTGGCACTTACAGAAAAGTGCCCAGCCGCTAACCTCTGTTCCCCTACTTTCTGTAGGATCGACGTACTCGGACTTCAGACTCTTCTAGTTTCAAGACCGAAGCTGTATCATGTAGATCTAAAGGAGTATCTTGACATTCATAAACATTAACTACATACCTACATAACCACATACAGACATCCCAAAAAAAGTCCCACCAGGTATCTTGATCTTTTCCCACATCCAATCCGAGACACATGAAATCCAACAAACGATAACAAACAAGAACATTAAATACGTTTGAGCCATCTTTTACAACACATTCTCTCTCCGTCTGCCTGCCTGTCTATCCGAACACTTTTCAGCTAGGACAGACCGGACCGGACCAGATTCCATCAAACCATCCACAACATCTCCTCGCACCGAAATCAAGCAACATTACCCCCGACCTGCTTCTTCTCCTTAACCTTAATATCCCTCCACAGCAGCACACACCCCCAGCCCACCGCCAGCGCGCACGTGCTAGTAATAACCATATACCTCTGCGCGTCCGCATACGCCCAGGAAATCCCCTTCCTAATCTCCGTGCCGACGGGGTATCCAAGCTGGGTATAGATGCTGCTATAGATATACTCGATATTTGCGCCTTCCGGTAAATGTCTCCTCAACGCATCAGGGAAACATCCGGTCCAGATAGCGCCCGACACAGTAGCGCCTACCGCGTACCCGATGGACGAGAACAGGTCCAGGATGGCCAGGATGGACGCCAAGTTCTGATGCGTGACGGGCGCCATGAAGGCCATTTCCGCCGCCACGACAAGCGGACCTCCGGCAAAAGCGACGAAGATCTGCGTCATCACCACGTACCCGATTTCGGCGTCGGGGCGGCGGAAGTGGATCATTAGACCGACGCCCAGGAGCATCAAAGGCATGCCGTAGTAGAGCGCCACCCACTTGAAGCGGCCCGTGACGCGCATCAAGTAGCCTAGGACTAGGGCGGAGAAGCACGAGCCGACGCGGTAGATGTTGCTGATGTACGTCGCTTTCGTCACCGACAGGTTCCAGACGACCATGAGCATGGACGTGAAATAGGAGCCCCAGACTGCCGAGTTGAAGAAGAGGAAGAAAAGCATCAGCCCGGCGAAGAGGATGGTGCGGTCGGAAAGCGCCTTGAAGGGGACAAAGTTGACTGGCGCCAGGAATCGCTCGTACGCCACGAAGATGACCAATAGCACAGCGCCAACGACGGTCATGGCGATGATCTTGGGGTCTTTCCAGCCGAGCTTTTGCTTAAATCCGATGGACAGGGGGATCAAAATCAAGGCCATGCCTGCGGCAAGGAAAAGGATGCCGAGCAAGTCCATGTCGACGAAGAAGCGGAAGGTCGCGCGCGGGCTGATTTCCGGACGACGATAGGAGACCAGACCCTGTTTCTTGGCGCGAACAAGTTGCACCCAGAAGAGGATGATGAGAGGCAAAACGACGACAGGCGTGATGATGGAGAAAATGCCAAAGCCCCAGCGCCAGCCGGCGCCGCGCACGAGGGAGTCGCCCATCGGTCCGCCGATCCAGGTTGTGACGATGTAAGGCGAGGTAGCGAAGGCGAGCATCAGACCACGAGACTTGAGGGAGGAGGTGTCGGCGATGAAGACTGTTAGGCAGTAGGAGATACCTTGGGAGCTGTTCACTTTATGTCAGCGTTGTGAAGAAAAGGGGATGTCCGGGATAGAGGTGACTTACCCAACAGTCGAAAACACCTGCGCAGCCGCATACGTAAAAACGTTCTTGCAAGCAGCCATCATGATGAAGCCCAGCGTCCAGACCAAAAGCATGAGGGCCATGCCCTGCGGGCCTACCCAGATATCGGAGAATCTTGGACAGCGGCAGCTTGGTCAGGCCGGCAATGATGCTGGACATGATGGACGTGGTGGCCGTGAGCGAGTGAGACGAGAAAGAACTGGTGACAAAGGGCGAGAAGGTGCGGACGACGACTTCCTCGATCGATGTGATGAAGTAGATCAGCCAGATCCTTTGTTGTTTGTTAGTTCCCTTTCTGACAGCATCACCATTACAACATCTGGACCAGACCAGACAAGATAGGTAGTGTAAACATACATTCCATAAGCAGCAACTAGATGCCATTTCGTCCATACCGTCAAAGCGGCTTCGATTTCTTGAACACCGGCTTGGTATTCTGGACCGCCAATCTCGCCATCGCTCTGTCCTGCCTTTTCGAGATCTGATGAAGAAGTAGTGGCTTTTTGTGTGACGGTGGTATTATCGACAGCCTTCTCGTCGACCGGGACCGGGCCTGCCGGTGTTTTGGTACCGGTACCCGGTAGTACCTCTTTGATCTTGTCCAGCATGGCAGGCAACCTATTCGGGGTTCTGCCTTCCAGGGACCTTCCTACTGTATTCCGTGTGTGCCGTTTGCTATGTGCCGTGTGCTGTATGGTCGTTAAAGTAAAGTTGCTCAGAAACGAGTCAATGGATCTGATAAGATTGATAGAGGTTGCTCAACGGGGGAAAAAGGAGGAGAGGGAAGATAAGATGGAGAAGGGGAGAAGGGGAGAAGGGGAACAGTCGTTCGCCGGGCATGCTGGGCAAAACAGGGGATTTTGGACTTTTGACTGCAATTCTCGCCCCTCTCACCCGCAAGCCATCACACACACTTCATCATAGTCCACAGTAGGACGGGCCGACGGGGTCTTGTTCGTCACCACCGTGCGATTTTACGGCAACGCGGGGCCCAGCCACCAATGCCCCAAGCCCGGCCATATCCCCCCTCTATCCGGCCCGTCCAGCCCACTCCAGTCCTATTTCCTCCGCTCGTTTCTTTCTTCCGTTTCTTCCAAGTCCAATCCACGCCCCGCAACAACACTCCCAGTGAGTCCACATCCTACCGGTCACCGATGCAGGTCCGTAACCCGTAACGTTATCGGCTTCTCTCCTCTCCTGCCGAGCCTGCATCTGTCTGTCCCCATCCCATGGTCCATGATCGCACGCAAGGCGCGGCGGCCGGATACGGACTCGGCGGAGTGGATGGAGGGAGTTTAGCTGCAGGTCTAGAAATTCGGAAAATCTTGGCTCTTCATCTGTCCGCTTTCCAAAAGTCTTGGCTAGCGCCGCCTGTGAAAGCTGATTCGATCCTGACGTCCACGGCGGTCCTCGGGTAATGCTAGCTGGGTGGGATGATGCCTTCTTCCGGGCATCACAGCCGGGCCTTTCCCTTCTTCGGTCCTCCAAACCCGGCGCGTTAAGCGATTACTCCCATCTTATCTGATCATCGGATGATCTGATAAAAAATCTTTTTTCTCCTTTGGCGGCGAAAGTGCGCCCGCCGCGCTGCCGAGGCCGTCGAGGCCGGGATAGGCTTGACAGTTAGGAGGTTGGTTTCGTTGTCCGGATTGGCTAGCTGGCAAAAGCTGAGCTGAGTGTTGACAAGGAGATGCCGTCCACCTCGGCGGCTCCACAAAGCGCGATTTCGGGACTCTCAGGGTTATCCTTTGTTGCTGAGTTTTTCTCCCAGCCTTTCGGTTCGGTGTGTGTGCTGTGCGTGGCATCCCGTGTTGGCCGGCCGAGGTTCTTGTTGACTGGAGTCGGGAAGGTGGTTTGATTTTGGCGAAGTCGGTCGGTGGGAGTCAGCCATGAGCTGAGGGCTCTCTACCAGACCCTAGATATGAACCGTAGTTCGATACCGCGTGGTCCGGGTGGGGTAGTCCCTCACACCGTCTCCTTATAAGAGCCAATTCCCCAGAAGAAGCTGCTGCACACAATGTAGATCGATCTTCGAATGCAACCTCGATAAACACACCTGTCAAAACAAAACCACGCGAGACAACCAGGGTTTCTTACATATAAACCGTCCATTCCTCTTTCAGGTCTTTTCAGTGTCGATCACTCAACGTCAACAAACGTCAAGATGAAGTTCTCCGCCATCACCCTTCTCGCCGCCGCTGCCGGCCTCGCTGCCGCCAAGACCCTCGAGGACTACGTCCCCAAGTGCTCTCAACAGTGTCTCAAGGACGCTCAGTCGTCTGCCACCGACTGCAAGGAGGGCGATCTCCCTTGCTTCTGCATTCTTGAGAACTACCACAACATCTATGATGCTGGTGTTTCTTGCGTCCTTTTGAAGTGCGGTAACGACGTCGCTGTTGGTAAGTTTTCTTTGGCCCCCTTTCTTCCCCTCCCATTTCTACGATAAGTATCTTCCCACGGTTTTTTTTTTTTTTTATGATTGGTTTCTGACCGGCGTCTTTTTTTTCTTGTGCAGGCGAGGTCCTTCCCGCCATCGTCTCCATGTGCGATGCTGAGCTCCCCGGCGGTGCTTCCGGAGCCCTTCCCTCGACCGTCTCCACCACCGGCATCGCCCGTCCCACTGACGCTGATGCCGCTACCACCGTCACCACTGTCACTGCCAGCACCACCTCTGGTGAGGGCAAGGCCACCGCTACCTCTTCCAGCGCTGCCCCTACCGCCAGCGACGATAAGGACTCTTCTGCCGGCAGCCTTGTCGCTGGCCTCGGCGCTGCCGTCCCTCTCGTCCTTGCTGCTATGCTCTAAGCACCAGACAGGTGTGAATCGGGTGTCGAAAAAATGGGTTATACCAAAAATATCTAGGTTATTACTTGGTTAATGAGTAATGGTAACGAATATGTTAGTTAATGTGGGATAGGTTAATGAAGAACACTGAACATACCAATATGCTTTTGCCTGACCCGATGTGTGGCTTTGTGACATTGTGTATGTTAGTATCGCAAGACCTTCAAGAACCCCTGTCAGACACAAAGGGGGGTTGCAACAAAACTAAACAGCAGTAAATTCATCCCTGATATCATAACCTGCTCCCCTCCGAATCCCAACTCCGACGCCTGTCCGCATAACTCCCATGCCAACAAAGATGCCCAATCAAGGTGAAAAGCCATACGCGCGCATACCTAGCCCATCCACTCCCCTGTCCGAATAAAAACGCTAAAACACACATTATTCATTACAGTCCCTAGCCAGCCTCGAGCCAGCCACTAACGGCAAACCCCCCTTAATCCGCAAGACGATAGCTAACAAGCGTATCAACCCGATGATTCGTCGTGCTGAACCCCCTCAGCTGGACACGTTCACCGTTGACAATCTCCTTGGCGTCGCTATCACCCCACTCAACCGGCACGTCGCTGTCGGCGTCGGCGTACACTAGCACGTTGAAGGTGCAGTCGCCGCTGAGCTGGGGCAGGAAGGTGACGGAAGCGGTGATTTGGCGGAAGATGGCGGCGATCTCGGCTTGGATCTCGGTTTCGGTCTTGTCGCGTGGGGGTGTGGGAGTTGAGGCGATGTTTGAGGCGGCGCCAACGTTCTCGTTTGCGGATTGGTTATCGTCGGGGGAGGAGGAGGCAGGTTGGGATTTGGATTTGGCTTGGGCGGCTTTTGAGAATATTTGGACCTGTCGTAGATCATAGATTAGCTGGAAGTCAATCTGAGGAGAGGGAACCAGGAGTAGGATACTGACGTCAAACTGCCACCTCTCGACGTGCTCGCCAGTGTCCTTGTCGGTGATGACGATGACCAGCTTGGAGATCTTGCCGCCCACCATCCACTTGTCGAGCTGGGACATGATCTTCTTGATGTATGCGCGGACCTGGTCGTCGGCCGAGACGAGCATGTTTAGGCCATACTTTTTCACTGTGGTGAAGTCTTCGGCTGGGTAGACGCCTCGCTGGAAACTGGTTGCGACGGGTTAGTCAAATGGGATTCGGAGGCCGATCAGGGACGGCATTGGATGGCATACAGAATGGTGTGGATCGAGTATTGAAACTGTCAAAATTGTACCATTGTTAGTTATGCGATTGAGTCGCCAGGATAATAAGATACTTGCGAATGACTTACAAACTCGGCAACGAGCTTTGCGCTTCCCTTGAGTGACAGGCGGTGCACCTTGGACTTGTCCTTGTCCTTTTCTTTTTCGGGGGCCTTGGAGGACATTGTGTCACTTGCTTGGTCTAGTCTGCGTATAGGATAAATATGAGTGACAATTGTTTCGGGCAATTGGCGATAATGGCGGTGTTGGAGATGGACGGGCTGGGAATTGGGTTGAGGAGAGTTGGCGATGACAGGAAGATGGACCGGGGATGGTGGGATTGTTTACTTTGGGGCGTTTGCCCGTTGTCAGGGAGCTCCAAAGTCCAAACAGTGGACTAGGCGTGGACTTCCACTTTTGGAGGGGCAGTGCCAAGGCCCGATGTTTTACCGCTAGAGAACGGTCCCGGCAGGCAACTTTACAGTACCTTACAGGATGTTGTCATCAACACCCAACTGTCTTCAATCTTTTCCCTCAAGACTCTAATTCCTTGCTTTCTTGAACGTTTTAACTTCTACACTGCAAAGTTTTGTTACTGTAACTTTCATGTAAAATGCGGCTGGCCTCCCAATCGATTAAACCCAACAAGTCACATGTGGGTTTCTCGTCAGCTCGAAACACATCAAATCCAGCAGCCACTCAGTTCTCAGAGAAGTGTTGTTGAAACTCAGCTTTTTGCAACACGCTATCTAGGAAACTTCGCTCAAACATCAGATACTGATACACCATCCATCCACTCTCTCTTCATCCTGCCCAACCCCTTACTCCTTCTTCTCCTCCCCATCCTCCTTCTTAGGCCGTCCAGTAAACATAACATCCAACGCCTCCTTAATATTTTCCTTCGCCCTCAGCCGTTCCAACCAGCCATGCACAAGCGGGTACTTAGTCTCATCATACTCCTCCCTGCTCAAAATGAGATACATACCATGCTGCCAGGGCACGAACGCGATATCGACATAACTGTACTTATTCCCCACGAACCAGGGCTCCTCCGTTCCATACTTCTCTTTTTGTTTCTGCAAATGACCCTCAATCACGCTCGTAACCCGATTAACCTCCTTCACATAACGCTCCACCGCGCTGGGCAACGGCTCAGAGTGGTACTTCTTGAACCAGACCGCCTGCCCGAAGTACGGCCCCTGGCCCGTGGTCTGGAAGTAGAGCCATTGGCGGGCGTGGTAGAAGTCTGTGGAACCCGCGGGGAAGGAGAGCTTGTGAGACTTGTCGTAGGTCTCGGTCAGGTATTCGAGGATGGCGCCGGATTCCCAGAGGGTGAGGCCGGTGTTGGGGTCAACGATGGCGGGGAGACGGCCGTTGGGGTTGATGTTGGCGACGAAATCGGGACGCTTGGCTTCTTGGACTTGGATCATGTCGAGGTCGAAGGGGAGACCGAGCTCCGTCAGGAGCATGCACACTTTGGGTGGGTTGGGGCCGGTGTGGCCGTAGAGCTTGATGGGCTTGAGGGAGGACTTGGTGTCCGCCATTGTGAGTGATGTGATGTGGTTGTTTGGTGTTGAGTTGGGTGAAAGGTTGATGAGTGTCTGTCTGTGGTGATGTTTGAGATGGAGGTGAGTGAAGATGTCTACGGGTAATAAAGAGGAAGGTAAAACACTGGAGCAACGAGGATGATCCTTGGTCTTTATATCTGATGAGGTTCGGCGTTCAAAGGTATGTCGGTCTATCCTGTCTTTGCACGACCCATTCTTTCCATTGCGTTCGAGACCAAAACACCGACTCAAGTCGTACTCAACAGATCGAGCAGATCGTTACCCCTTGCCATGCCGTTCAACCAGTTCCACTCGCGATACCAAACTTCCATCCTGTTTACTGGTTTATAAGCTTACATAATCGGTGATGGTCCCTATGGAGTCTCGGTTTGCAAGCTGACAAATTGTTGAAAGGTGGAATTAAGCTTCTGGGCGTTTTGTGGGGAAGTGGTGAACTGCCCCTGGAGTTTTGGTGTTTCCACCGGTGTTCGGAAAACCACAGACGCCGAAGTCTTGGCATCTTTCAGGTATGTCTGCGTTACCTGCTTCGGTGTTATCGACGACAAGCTCGCACTGCAATTACTGAGGTCGGACTCTTCAATCTCCCAAAATCGCACAGCAAGACACTTGGTCATCAAAGGTCAATGATAACAAAATCAACCGTCGGTTTGTTCAATGCCATGTCGTCGGTCGTCTTGCCAGTGCCAGCCGCTGACTAATTCAAGCGACGTCACACAGGATGGAATGTTCAATAGCACAGGTTACACTGGCGTTGACATTATCTCCAGATATGTAGAGGACCGTAGAAGTATCTGACTAGATCCGATATCCCTATCTCTATATTTCTTTCTTCAAGATCCGTGATCCAGTTCAAGTGGCGCAGAGTCACACCTACTCGTGCGATCTGGCATTTCAATGACCGGAGATATCCCCCTACCAAAGCTGCAGCAGGTTTTACAGTGATCCCATTAGTGCAGAAACACAGCATATCTTGACATGGGGAAGACCGCTTCCATCAATACACAAACCTCGCCACCTCCAGACACTTTGTGATTGCAGAGCAGCAACAATTCTATATACGGCACTTTCTTTACTGGCTTATTCTCACGCCTCTAATGTGGCACATTGGAGAAGTCGTATCGTACGTTGATTCTTTGATGCCCTACTCCTCCTCGGAAGGCACACTAGACATGGAAGCTTCATGCTGAGCGAGGGACCCCTGCACCCGTTGTCTCTGGCTCTCTTTATGTTCTGGACTTCATCTTCTTCGGCCGCCTGATCCTCAGATAGCTCTGGGTTCTGCTCATGCTCGTTGCTTCTCCTTTTGACTTCATCACTTCTCCCTTGTTGAGCTATTCGCTTGAAGAAGAACGACCCAAGTCGGTGGAGTCCTTTCGTTTTCTCTTTTTATCGTCATCGCCGCCCCTTTCTTCCTCAGAACTAGAACTTCCCAACCCGCTCGACGAGGGATCTGAGTTGTTACTGGAATCTTGTCTTTTCCTCTCCTTATCCTCATCACCCCTTTCTCCCCTGTCCTCTTCTGTCCTGCTCCCTTCCTCCTCAAGTTCCTCTCCACCAGCACCAGCACCAGCACCACCACCTTGCTGTTCATCATTCCCCCCATTTCCTCCACCATTTTCCCTTTCTCCTCCGCCATCATCCCCATCTCCATCTTCAGCCTCATCTGTATCCTCTCCATTACTATCCTGTCCATCACCATCCCCATTCCTATCACCATCACCACCATCCTCCCCACCACTCTCCTCTTCCCCATTACCCCCCATCACCCCATCCATCCTCCCCCATCCTCCCCCTCCTCCCTTTCCTTCCGTTCAACCCTCACCCTCCTCTCCCCCCTCCCCCTCTTCTTCCCAGCCCACACACTCAACAACCTCATCCTCTCCCTCTCCATCCTCACCCCCTCATCAATCGCCACCACACTTTCATCCAACTCCTCGTAATCCTCCCTCAACTCATCGGAATCCTCCCGCATCTTCTCCACCCGATTGTTGACCGTGTGGAGCTGACTTTCCAGCTTTCTGATTTTCCTCTTGGAAGAGTCCAATATTGACTCAATGTCGAGATCGTCCGAGTCCATGTCGCTGGAGAGCGCGGCGCGGAGGGCGTAGAGGTCGGCGGCGGGGGTTTCGAGATATATGTCCATTTAATGTGTTTTTTTTCTTTTTTTCCCGCTTGTAAAAGGTTGGAAATGTGAGTGGTAATTGGAGGTGTCGTTTCGGCTGGGTTAGAGAAGAGGTAGGCAGTCGGGCTTGGGTTAAGAACTTCGTTATATTGTTGATGAATGACAAGGCGGAAGATCCTGTAACTGATGGAAACTTCGATCCTGAAGAAAGAGACGAGAACCGAAAGTGTCAAGCACATGATAAACTCAATGGAATGGGTGCATTGTATGTTGATATAAAACCATATGCAAAAGGCGTAATAAACATACAGATGACTGGTGCCAAAATAGGTTGTGGTATAACAGGATAGAAGGGTTTAGAAGGAACAACAAAACCTGCTTTTCCTCGTTACAACAGAAGAAACAAACCAGCCAAAACAAGAAGTGGTTGTCCGTGTTGAACATACAACTGAAAAGAAACAACAACCCACCAAAATCAATCCAAAAAAACTCCCAAAGACTCCGCTAATGGATGATGTGATGATCCCTTAATGAACCCCGCCAAAAACAAAAGACGTCAACCCAAACGACGCATGCATGGCCGACCTTTTCAAGGTTTGCGGCTCTTTGTGCAAAAATCCACTTTTAAGCTTTCTTCAACAACGTACAATCCCCATTAAGATCCTCCCAAGACGGCATGTCTGTCAGTAGGTGGCAGATTTAGGCGGTAGCAGAGGCCTGGGCGGTCTCGAACTTGGCGCCGGTGCCAGCGAGGTTGGTGGGCGCGCCCTGGGGGTTCTTGGTGCGGTAGTCCTTGATGGCGGCCTTGATGGCATCCTCAGCAAGCATGCTGCAGTGCAACTTGACAGGGGGCAGGCACTATGGGTGAAGGGTGACACGGTTAGTTCAGAGTGTACGGGAGCATGGAAGCATGGTACAGAGAACAGGTCTAGACTGTGATGGAATGGACTTACGAGTTCCTTGGCAATCTCCGTGTTCTTAACCTTGGAGGCTTGGTCGAGGGTCATGCCGCGGACGAGCTCGGTGACATAGCTGGAGGAGGCACTGGAAAAGGGAGTTAGTAAGCTGAATTCGGAATGTCGTGGAAACACTGAAGCCCTGGGAAGCCAATGGTCGAGTTGTTGTCGTTGTTGTGGAATCGTGGATGATGGTTCCGAGCATGTTGATATTAACATGAAGCGAGAGGAAATTGTTGCTGTCGGTTGTCAAAGACGTTGAGAGAGGCGCGGGGAAGATGTCGCTTATTCGTCCGGGCACCCAAGCAGCGCTGGACTTGGGGTGTACCCGCTCGGAGGGTTTCGACTGTCCAATGCCAAATCTCCGTGATTGTCCTTAACAGAAGTATTGTCGTGGTTGATATATATCGATCAGATTTTTTGCGTCGCTTCACGTTTGAATGGCGGTTGCGTGATATCGATATCGTACCGCTGATCCTTTCGGATAGTTTTCCTGGCTCCCATGGCTTCCCTAGGCTTCTGTATGTAATCAGTTGAAGGAGATAAATACTCACATGGCAGAGCCGCAGCCGAAAGTCTTGAACTTGACATCGCTGATGACACCAGTGTCGGGGTCGACCTTGATGTGAAGACGCATGACATCACCGCAGGCGGGGGCACCGACGAGGCCTTCGCCAACAGACTTGTCCTTCTTGTCGAGAGTACCGACGTTGCGAGGACGCGAGTAGTCTGATATTGGGACATGTTAGCATCTGCATATGTCTGGCAGAGTAGGCCTCATCAATGGGAAACAGGCGCGAGCGGAAGCCGAGATGGGAGCACTCACGGTCAAGGACCTTCTCGTGGTAGGATCTCCTGGCAGCGACGGCGACGGCGGGCGCAATCTGGCGCGCGGCCGGGATAACGGTAGGGCGGACGGCGTTGGCGAGGACGCGGCCGGTAAGAGTGCGAACGGATCTGGAAAACATGGTTGCGGATGTGTTGATTGTGATGTTTTGTTTGTATTGGTTTGTTTTGTCTTGTTTCCGTAGGATATCGATTTCGGAGGTGCAAGAGAGGAGTTTCTGGTGGTGATGGCAAAGTGGAAGTAAGTGACTGAGATAAAGAGGTTGGCGGACTTGGTTAAAAGTTGCCGGGCTGGGATTTGCGGATTTGGCTGCGGATTTGCGGGTTTGCGGCACTTGGTCACCAAAAGTCGATGATGACCCAAGGGGGCGACTTGCCGCACTTGGGACTTGAAAAGAGGGGTTGGTCAAAGCTCCTGCTAACAAAAGCGGGACCAAAATTGGTGCTTCACGGGTCAGATTTGTGTTAGGACAGTGACAAGACGCGCTGTCACTGACATGGGGGCGTCATGCCGACGTCGGCTTAGTCGGTTGGATAAAGAGCGCCAAGACAGACTTGTGGTCCACACGCCGCGGAGATAAGATGATCAGATTACGGAACACCGAATCCACGTCTCGCCATTTGGCCATTCTCTGAATTCTGGAAGATCACTTGGACGTCCTTTTTCCAAACGATGACAAATTGAAATACTGCCAACAGGCTTCTATGACCGTATATAGGTTTTCGCTCCATTTCTCTGCCTCATGGAATGGGAATTTGGAAACCCCCATACTTCAGCCAGATATCGAAGCTTTGTAGTTTTAATGGCAAACTGTCAAGGACCCTTTCTTAACACGCCCTATCTGTCTTTGCTGCTGTAGTACGTATGACAATGTTAAGAGCTGCATAACAAACAAACCGTCCACCACCGATAGGCAAATGCCCATCCCTGCTCAACCTTTCCCCAGACTACCAATCATCCCTGCTGTCACAATCCATGAAACAGCGGGGTTCATGGAAATGGAAGGCGGCAAGTGGAAGGGCAACAGCGCGTGGGAGGCCACTGCCATGAGCCACGAGCCACTGAAGCGCGGTTGCCTGGGAGTGGTTGATGTGCCTGCCGCGTAAAGTGTTACCCCACAACATCATACCTCCAGCTAGGTACAGCTTCCGTCCTCTTTCACGGTTCTTGCATCTTCTCTTCTTCCATGCAACTCGGCCATACAGCTAGACTTCATCCGACAGGCCCATTCTTTTCAGGGACAGGCACGAAATACGCAAAGAATACAGACAACATAACTTTCTTGATTCCATTCGAATATCATCGCGAAACCACCCAACATGTCGTGCCCCCACGTCGGGTCCGCAAGTACGTCTTGTTTACTCTTTGGATGCTTCTAGAGCTCAGCTCAGCTTCCATAATGGTGCTATCGTATCTTGCTCTGAATGTCTAGCTGACTCGAACTTTGACAGACCTCTCGAAGCCGTCGCCCACCAACAATGTCTACCGTGAGGATTGTACCCAATGCTTCGATTCTATTGTTCGTATTCTGCCCTACCCTGTCATCGTGACTAGTCAGGTCTACTATGTTGAACGCAACTAACCACATTTCATGCACAGGACGACCCAGCTGGTCTGGATGTCTGCTTAAAGTGCTTCAACGGCGGCTGCGCTGGCGACCGGAACCACGCAAAGCTTCACTCTACCTCTCGAAACCACCCTCTCGTCCTCAACATTCGCCGAACCCGCAAGATCATCGAGCGCAATGAGCCCCCTCTTAAGATGTCCAAGCTCGCCATTGCGGCCGAGACCGAAAGCGATCGCTACGATACAACACTCGCAGTCAAGTGCTTGGAGTGCGGAATCGACAACTTGGACAAGGAAGATGCCACTATTGCCCCCGTCATCGACGCCGTCATGAAGGCCAACACGTTCTCGCGCAAGGAGGAGGTCAAGGCTTGGGAGCAAGAACTTACTTCTTGCGAACACATCTTGACAATGCAGCAAGGAGAGCCTCGCAAGATTGAGTCTCAGGATCTGGGCCATTGCTCCAAGTGCGACCTGAACGAGAACCTTTGGTTGTGCTTGGAATGTGGCAACCTTGGCTGTGGCCGCGCCCAGTTCGGTGGTGTTAGCGGAAACTCTCACGGTTTGGCCCACGCGACTGAGACCAAGCACGGCGTTGCTGTCAAGCTTGGCTCAATCACCCCCGAGGGAACGGCCGACGTATACTGCTACAACTGCGACGAGGAGCGCATCGACGACAACCTGGGCGCCCACTTGGCCAACTGGGGCATTATCCTCGCTGAGCGCGAAAAGACGGAAAAGAGCTTGACAGAGATGCAGATCGAGCAGAACTTGCGATGGGAGTTCTCCATGACGACTGAGGACGGCAAGGAGTTGACGCCTATCTTTGGTCCCGGCTTGACAGGCCTCAAGAACCTTGGAAACAGCTGTTACCTGGCTAGTATCCTACAGTGTCTATATGACTTGCCCTCTTTCCAACAACGGTATTACGGCGGCAAGCTTGGCCCTCTACCCAGCGTATCAGATCCCGCCGAGGATCTCGAAACACAGCTTCGCAAGCTCGGTGACGGTCTACTCTCCGGCAGATACTCCAAGTCCGACTCTGATGTCTTTGCGTCAGAGCACACTCCCAACATCCCCCACCAGAAGGGTCTTCAGCCTTCCATGTTCAAGCACCTCATGGGTCGTGGCCATGAAGAGTTCTCAACCATGCGGCAACAAGACGCCTTTGAGCTTTTGCAGCATCTGATCAAGCTCATTACCAGATCAAAGCACCCAGCAGAGCTCGGCGATCCCACCCAGCCCATGCGCTTCGTCATGGAGCAACGTCTGCAGTGTCTCAACTGCAAGAAGGTCCGCTACAGTAGCAATGAGCAAGACAGCGTCTTCATCGATGTGCCCATGGAGAAGCTCCCACCTGAGGAGGAGGGCCAGGAGCCCAAATACAAGCCCGTCACCCTCAAGCAGTGTCTTGATAATCTGACTGCTTCCGAAGTTGTCGAGTTGACCTGCGCGGCCTGCGGAAGTAAGGATGGTTTTACCAAGCGCCAGGCCTTCAAGACTTTCCCTGATGTCCTCGTTGTCAATGCTCGCAAGATGGCTGTTGTCAACTGGGTCCCCGTCAAGGTTGATGTTCCCGTCATTGTTGATGACGAGCCCTTTAACCTAGACGAGTACCTTTCCAAGGGTCAGCAGCCCGACGAGGAGGCCCTACCGGAGGATGAGTCGGCCAAGAGCAACGTTCCTGCATTCGTTCCTCACGCAGAGGGGCTTGCCATGCTGGAGGCCATGGGATTTCCCAGGGTTCGATGTGAGAAGGCGCTGCACGCCACCGGCAACTCGGATGCCAACGCTGCCATGGAGTGGCTGTTTGCTCACATGGACGACCCCGATATTGATGTACCTTTGGATCTCAGTGGCAGCAGTGGTGGTGGGGCTTCAGGAGGTGCTGGCGCGGCTGATCCCGAGAAGTTGGCCATGCTCGAGTCGATGGGATTGTCCGGACCGAGGGCTGTAAAGGCCCTGAAGGAGACTGGTGGTGATGTGGAAAGAGCCATTGAGTGGCTATTCAGCCACCCTGATGATGATGGTGCGGATGCTGCTGAAGAAGAGGCACCGGCTGCCGATGCGGGACCGAAGAAGGAGGCGGGCAGCAGTGAGTTGCCGGCCAAGTTCCAGTTGCAGTCGATTGTGTGCCACAAGGGAACAAGCATTCACGCTGGGTAAGTATCCTATCATTCCGTGTTCGGCATAACAACTTGCTAACCATGACATAGACACTACGTTGCCTTCATTCGCAAGAAGCTCAGCGAGGACGAGACCTCCTGGGTCCTCTTCAACGATGAGAAGGTGGTCAAGGTGGTGGATGTTGAGGAGATGAAGAAGACTGCCTATGTCTACTTCTTCAAGCGTGTGTAAAGCATGACAAGGTTTATGTCCACTTATTCAGCAATGGGATAGCGGAGGAGTTAGTCTAAGTGGCATCGGAGTTGAGCGGGAATAAGGAGATGTGTACATGCTTACATGTGATTAACGAAGATACGAATTCAACACATATGATTTCTACCCTGGCCTACCACCCTGCGTACCGTAAGGTAGCCATAAGGTAGCACGCCATGTTGCTTAGGTGGCACCCCTTGGGTACGTATAAACAGCCAAGGTAAGTGATGTCGGATGGACGGATGGCCACGATGCGGGTGCTGTAGGGCAGTTGCCTAAAATGGATTGGTGAGGACCAAATGCCGGCATCGTGCAGCATCAAGACGACGTCCTCCAGATTCTTTCCGGTACTGTAGCTCTTTTCCCTTCCGCCCACTCACGGAGCTTTCTTTCTTCCGTGTTCAAAGAGTTCAGTGTCCTCCACATTGGTCGTACTTGCCGATCGATGGAGGGACGGGACGGGAAACGGGAAGGACCGAAGGACGCGTCAAGCATGTCGCACGTGCTTCAAGACCTCGTTCGTTCATTTATCTTCAGAATCCTGTCACTTCCATTATCACTTTTCGTTCTTCACCTGTTCACATACGTCTTCTTCTTTCTCAATCAACAATGGATGGACTCTCCGCAACGGCGCCAACATGTGAGATACGAGCCTGTCAAGCGATGTCCTCTGCGACCAACATCTCGCCGTCGTCTCAGCCATTCACTGAGTATCCGCGATTGAAACAGTTCATTCAAGTCAACGAAGCGTGATGGTTGAGGACGGCATCAATGCGTTGCGATTGACCACACATTCCGATACCGAACCCATGATCTCGCCATCAGTCCCACCACCACAAGCACATGGATGTCTCCACTCAACCATCTCGGAAAATTCTGTGTCCAACGATCGCCGACAACCCTATGCTCTCCGTCGTCGTCCAAGAACAGAAAACTAGTCACATCCGCCGAAAACATAAGCGATCACGGCCTTCGGTTATCAGACTCAATCTTCATCTCCGCTGAACCGGGCAATAGGATACAAAACAATCTAATTACACAGCCCCCAACCTCAACGGCACCGACTTTGTTGAGCTTTCCTCCGGCGCTCTAGGCAACGACCTTTCAATCTCTTTTCTCAACGACTATCACATGTCAAGAGATACTGACCGTCACGAATGGTGTGATTACGGTTGGTGGCTTCTTGTTCCTGACATTGATAACTAGTTCCCAGGCATCCCCTTCTCACCTTCCACAAAAACGAGGATTATCCCCGACCGTGAAAAGCTTCTCGCTCGCTTGTTTGGTCGCCGGTTTGTGAAGCCGTTCAAGCCGGTTCCTAGCCTGGTCTCCACAAACTTCCGCAAAGTTCCATAAAAAGTGGACAAAACAGGTCGGGGAAAGGCTGGAAGAGCTAGGAATTTGGTGGAGGTGGAGGCCGATGGGCTTCTCCGCGACCCCGAGATTGTGGGCAAATTTGCCTTACGGATAACAAGAGGAAAAACTAGGGTGGAAAGCTTTCACGAGTCAAGCAGAGCAGATTCACAAGCAAAGAGAGATGATGGAGAAAAGCCGAATTGGCAAGGACCGGCTCTCCGCTGTTTCGAAAACTTTGGGTTTCTTTTTGATTCTCGATATTTCAGGGGTTGGAACGCAGAAAGACTGATGAGATTCTAGACAATTCTTTTCCACCTGTCTTCATCAATCCTCAGGATGGACATCACTAGGGGAGACTTGCCTAATTCACGACCAGCACGGCGGTTACAGCGCTTGTTATTGCCTGCGTTCAACTGAACCAAGAGTCCAGCGGCGCATCTGGAACAAAAAGCAGCACAGAGGAAAAATAATCCCAGGACATGATGGCCATGTTAGCCGTTGATTGCCTAACACGTGCCCAGATAACGGATCCTTGGAGGATGTAACACAGAAATCAAAATCGCCGAAAGGAAGTTCGAAAAATTCTGCAAAATGCAACACCAAAAAGGGGTTCTCGGCCGAGACAAATCGGTGTCATCCAAATCAAGTCAAGTTCGAGGCAAGAGCAAGAATTCGGGGTCCGGAGAACGATTCAGGAACGGACATGACCAACCGAGTACCGTACCGACCGACCGGATGATCCGCACAGGTAAAAGTGAAAAGCCGTTGTTGCATTTGCAGTGGTGTCTCGCCCCGAAAAGAAGCGGAAGCTCCCTCGGCTCCGAACAATGAACCAAACAGAAAACTGAAGAGAAAAGGAATCAGGAACGCGCGATGGGCCCACGCATTACCAGAATCAGTAGCTAGCACGAAGAAAGCTCGACTGCTCGAGTCGAGTAGGGTGCTTGGCAAATCAGCCCTGTTATCTTGTTAAGCCCCATGCGGAATAGCATCACATGCTTGAGCCGGTGCTAGTGAGGTTTAGCGATGCTGGTGATGGTGATGGTGATGGTATCAGCCCACCGGGGCACTGGAGACAGGGGCAGCAGAAACCAGAATGGGAGAGACTTGGGTTTTGAAGTTTCGGGTTCTGCCAGCTGATATCGCCAAGGAGGAGACCAAAACCAAAGATCACGCTTCATTGCCATCACCGTTGTCATTGACTTAGCACTTCTCTCTAGTGTAGATATTGGAGGACTGACGTATGGGGGGCAAAGCGAATCGAACCATGGCAAAGGTTTTCAAAAACAACAGTGTCTGGGCTTACGTGGGCCTCTGGGGTTACACTGCGGCGGCAACCTCGTGGGGAGTGGGATAATTAGACCAAATGGGTTAGGAAAACAGTAAAGCCCGTGGGGGAAAGAGCGGATGTGATGGGGTGGGAAACGAAAAGTAACCCCACAGATTGCAAAAGATTCGAGTTTCCAAAGATTCCATTGGATGCCACGATGCACACACCATAGAAAAGGGAAGCGGAAGCTGAAGAAGAGCGAACCAGGGGTTGCTGCAGGGCAATCGCGAGTGGAGGGTCGCTGTAGGCCGGGGCCTGCAAGCTGCTGCACATGCCGCACCCGACAGCACGGAGAAATAAATGTTTGGGAAGGCCGCCCATCTCAATCTTCAATACCTTTTTTGGTCCTGTCTGTCTGTCTGTCTGTCTGTCATCCCGTCTCATTCCAAATCTCGTGTTCATCCCGACTTTGCCTCACGACGACCACCCATTGGTATCCTTAGCTGGGAGGCATTGACGGTGACAAAAGTCGCACAGCCAATCAACGACGACGAGGACAACATCACCGTCCTTTTCCTGCAATCGGCATTGACGGGAATCCAGTGTCCGACTCAGTGTGCGACCTGCGACCTGCAACACCGGCCACCGAAACCGAAACGCACGGAGCCTACACGAACAGCTGCCAGCTGCATTGACGTCACAGGAGACATCACGTCACATTTCAGTCCCGTTGTGACCCGTCCCGTCCCATCCCGTCTGTCCGCCGTTGCAGCTCCCCCGCCGCGCCGGACATGAGTACAACGGCCGCCAAGGCAAGCGGCAGCTACGCCGCGGGCCTTTCCCTACCGCCGACATTCTCCAGCGTCCGCGCAGCCACGTCGACCTCGGTGGTGAGACGGCCTCGGCCAGCGACGGCGATGACCTCCTCAACGCCCTCGGCTACAAGGCCGAGCTGACGCGCACCCGCTCAACATGGCACGTGGCCTTCATGTCCTTCGTGCTGGCCTCGATTCCCTACGGCCTGGCCACCACCATGTACTACCCGCTGCAGAACGGCGGGCCGGTCGTGGTCATCTGGGGCTGGGTCATCATCTCGGCCATCATCCTGTGCGTGGCGGCTTCTCTGGGCGAAATCACCTCTGTCTATCCCACGGCTGGCGGCGTCTATTACCAGACGTTCATGATTGCTCCGGCGAAATATCGGAGGGTGTCGGCGTATATCTGCGGATGGGCCTACGTGGTGGGAAACATCACGATCACTTTGGCGGTAAACTTCGGTACGGCGCTGTTTTTTGTCGCTTGTGTCAATGTCTTCCAGAACGAGGACGGCACGGATATCTGGCAGGCTGAGACGTACCAGATCTTTTTGGTGTTTTTGGCTATTACCTTGTTGTGTAACGCTATCTCGGCGCTGGGTAACAAGATTTTGCCGCTTTTGGATGTAAGTTTGCTGTTCTTCGCCTGAAAAACCTGTCAGTGAAAGGCCATCTAACATGAACCACAGACCTTCGCCATCGTCTGGACCTTCGTCGGCCTGATTTGCATCCTCGTCACCATTTTGGTGGTAGCCAAGGAAGGCCGCCGCTCGGGCGCCTACGCCCTCGGCCACTTCGAGCCCACGTCCGGCTGGCCCAAGGGCTGGGCCTTCTGCGTCGGTCTCCTGCACGCCGGCTACGCCACTTCTTCCACCGGCATGATCATCTCCATGTGCGAGGAAGTCCAGCGCCCCGCCACCCAGGTGCCCAAGGCCATGGTCATCACCATCGTCATCAACGCCATCGGCGGCCTGGTCTTCATGATCCCGCTCATGTTCGTCCTTCCCGACATCGCCATGCTAGTCGCCTTGCCCTCCGGCCAGCCCGTGCCCACGATCCTCAAGTCAGCAGTCGGCTCCTCTGTCGGCGCCATCTGCCTGCTTATCCCCTTGATGGTCCTTGGTATCCTCTGTGGAACGGCCTGCACCACCGCCTCCTCCCGCTGCACGTGGGCGTTTGCTCGCGACGGTGCCATCCCAGGCGCCAAGTGGTGGAAGAAGGTGCATACCGGTCTGGACCTGCCGCTCAACGCGATGATGTTGTCCATGATCATCCAGATCTTGCTGGGTGTCATTTACTTCGGCTCGTCGGCGGCGTTTAACGCTTTCAGCGGTGTGGGCGTCATTTGCTTGACCATCTCGTACGCGGTACCGATTGCGGTGTCGATGATTGAGAAGCGGAGACATATCATTGGTGCCAAGTTTCCGTTGGGCAAGTTGGGGTGGTTTTGCAATTCTGTGGCTTTGGGTACGTTTTTTTCTCTGTTTCCTCTTTCCCCCCTCTTTTATTCGGGCAACAACTAACTCCGCGACAAAAGCCTGGTCCTTCTTCGCAGTCCCCCTCTTCTGCATGCCCGCCTACCTCCCCGTCACCGCCGGCACAGTCAACTACGCCCCCGTCGTCTTCGTCGGCTTCACCTCCATCTCGCTGGCCTGGTACATCACCTGGGGCCACAAGAACTACGCCGGTCCGCCCACGGAGCAGGTTGGCGAGGATGTTGCTCCTATGACTGCCGCCGACGTTGCTGGTGATGTCAAGAAGCCAGTACCAGTACCGGTAGGTAAAACCGACTGAGGGAGAGCTACCGTTCCCCCCTATCAACTAGGGTGAAAGAAAACAGAACGGAGAAGAAGTATGATATGTTTCATGTTTTATATAGGATATGATTTCTGAGTGTATTGGATATATATGAAAAGGAGGCATAGTAATGTTAATGACTTTGGATATACCTCCTTGTTGAGAAGTGTGGTTATGAGTGTGATGGTTATGAGTATTATCATGGTGTGTGTGTGTGTGTGTGTGAGTAGAGTGGCGAGTAGTAAGTGATGAGGTTTCGAGCGAGGGGAATTGGTAAGGTATGGTGAGGCAAGCTTCCACTTGTGTGTGAAGACTTTGGATACCTTATCCATCTGGAGGCACTCGGCATTGGTTGAGCAGGTAGACTCAGAGATAGATGGATTGTTGGACAGATAGATAGTATGGTGCGGTAAGGTCGATCGGTCGGTGGTGGAGGTAGACGTCGGGTGGGAGAGGCAGAGTTGGGAAAGTGGAAGTAGAGCGAGGTACGTAGAGTAGTCGATACCCCATCTAGATAGACATTACAATATGAATGAATGAGCATATAACTAAAGCTTAAGTTGTCATTCTCGATATGTACGTGGTTCAGGACCGTAAGCGTGCCCCAGGTCCATTGCAGCGCTCTGTATAATGTACTGTATATATAGCTTCCCCTACTACAACTTGCCATGTCTTTCTCACAACCAAGGAAAAAAAAAACCCCAAAAAAAAAAAAACAATGACGAAGTAATCATTGTGCGTGCGTACCTCAATGTATCATGTTTCAACATAGGTACCTTCTTTTACTGGGTCATTCGGTTCTAACCTGGAGGGGCTTTTGTTGTGATTAAGTCGGGCATGAGTTAATACATACAGGAGGACGTGACAGTCACGGCGTGCAGACTGCGGAGTGCCAATTGCCAACATGAATCTTTAAACCTCAAACTCACCTTCCACCACAAGGAGCTGTCCGAAGGAAGTTGGAAGTGGAAGCAACATTGATCATCATCATGATCGGGGATGTGTCCAAAACATTGGTAGTTCCTTCCTCCATTCTTTCGAGAAAAGCTCACCTAAAGACACATAGGACACTGGGAAAGCGCAAGCCACCCAGCCCATGTCTTCCACCCCTCGCTGCACCGTGATTAAAACCTGACCTGACAACCTTGCCTCGAGTTTTGTTCTTCTTTTCTTCAATAGACTCGCTAGTCAACGCACATTTATCTCCATCAGGATTTCTTGGTGTTAACAATTTTGGTCATCATTGCTTTGCACAGTTTTCCTTTCTATCTCATCCAAGTTGAAGGATTCAAATTCTTCGAACATTGACTACAGATAGATTATTTTCTTTCTTCTTCATTTCAGTTCGGCTTCGACCTTGCCGGGTCCAGGCCCGATCAACAACATGTCATCTGACGCCACTCTAGGAAACAGCCCCATGGCGCCCATCAAGATCGAATCAGAATCCCCCGACGACATGCCTATCAAGATCGAATCAGAATCCCCCGACGACATGCCCATTAAGATCGAATCGGAATCCCCCGACGACAGACCCATGAGGATGAAGTCAGAGTCCCCAGACGACAGACCCATGAGGATGAAGTCAGAATCCCCCGACGACATGGTACCCATCAAGATTGAATCAGAATCACCCCCCAACATGGGACCGACGCCATGGAAATTAACAACGGGAACTTGAATGGCTCCAACGTTTCGATGGCGCACGTAATCGATCGTGGAATTCGGGGATTGTCTAACAGTGATATACTTCTGTAAGTCCCAGCTTTCTCCTTTCCTTTCCTTTGATTCCATGAGCGTTCCATACTGTGGCGTAGAGGTATGCTGACCACAACTATATTTTCAATCTCACACAGCATCTGCTCCTCCGACGCGGCCATGTTCCTCATCGGCCCATCCAAAAAAGAATACCATCTCCCCAAAGCGCTAGTCACCAGCCTAACCAACGATAACACGCTGGAAGACATGTTTTCCAACCAATGGGTGATCGACTGGACTTACCTCGTGGACGAAGACCTGTTCAACCTGTTTGTGCAGTACGCCTACACGGGCGATTACAAGCTGCCGGACCCAAGGATGATGGAAGACGAAGTCATTCACGCACACCAAGTCTATGACGAAGCCAGGAAGAAGCACAGCCCACAAGACTACTGGCTGTACGAGAACAACCCCCACGTGCAGAGGCCGACGCCTTCATCAGTGTTGCGATGCCACGCTCTGGTGTGGAACTTTGCCAGGCGCTGCCACATTGCGGGCCTCGAGGCCGTCTCTCTGAAAAAGCTGCGGGAAGCGTTGGCGGGCTATATCCGGGTTTCCAAATCGAGCGACTATTTCGGCATGGAAGAAGCCATGTTCGACCAGGTGGTCGACGTGGTTGGCTATGTCTATCACCAGGGCCGCCAATACTGGGGCGCTGCTGACGTCAAGCACGAGACACCTTTGGCGAAGTCGAACTCGATGAGGTTGACGGTGGCGTGGTTTGCGCGCAAATATCTCTGCAATAGAGGCTTGACTGCTGTGGGAGCCCAGTTGGTTGGGGACGTCCACGACAAGAACTTGAAGACGTGGGCGAAATTTCTGAGAGCTGTGCCGTTGGTTGCCCTTGACATTGCTCTTTGTGACGCGAAGAAAGTGCCGTGGACGGAAATAAAGAAGGAAGAGGAGGATTGAAGGTGTCCTTTGGAATAAGTTTTGATGGGTTGAAGATATTGGAGCTTTGGTTGGGTAGGTATATCTCTTTCGGTTTTGAAACGAATACGGACGACTTGGACATGGTTGGCGTGCTCATCAGTAAATAGGTCGATCACATTGGAACGGTGTGATGACACAGAGTTGCTCTCGGCCGGGTCGTGGACTGGTACGCGGAGAAAGAACGGAGCTGATCTTTATAGTGGTTTGTTTTTGGGTAGTCTTCTTAGCAGATTACACATGATTAACGATATCGTACTGAAACTGTATTCTCGACGAGGATTAGTGCTTCATTTCTCATGGCTCAGACGTGTCTCCGCTCAGAAGCCGTTGTTCGAAAAAATCGGGTCTCCGTTGCGGTTGCTACCTAGGGTGTCCGGGCGGATGAGAAAGAGGGGATCCGGTTTGCTGGTGGAAAATGCATTTATGTGTATTGAAGCGCGGCCTACGAGCGGTCTTGTCATGAAAATCATGTTCAGAAAAGCGGAAGTTGGCGATAGTGCGGCTGGAGTGGATGTTTAGTGTTGTGTTGATGAACGGCGGAAGGGAGAATGGACATAAATATGTGCAAGTATCCTTAATCTTTTTCATCAATCAGGCCGAGGCAGCAGGTACATCACGTAAATTTAGTATAAAAGATACTTCTAGCAGAGGATATGCTCGTACCCTCTGTTTGTGTTTATTGGGCAACTCTAGCCCGTGAGTAACCGGGCCGTGCGCAGGGGGTCAAGTGGCAATGCTCGTCCGGGACCATGAATCGACGAAACGCCGTGCTTGTCTGATATCTTGTGCTGCGATGAGTTAGGTCAATATATTTCTGTGTAAATTAATCTTCCATTTCTTTTCCCTCAGAAACTGTCGTTGATGTCTGGATGCAAAGAGACAGCTTCTACACAGTAAACAAAGAAACATCTCCTCCCAAACGCTCAATGACATCATCCCGCCATTAACCGTACACTACAGTACCTACTCTTACATTACCCCACGATTGATCGACTGACGCCCCGTCCCGTCTTTTGTTTGGTCGGATCCCCTCCGACTTTCTTTTCCGGGGAAACACAGCAATTTCCAACCTTTCACGACTCTTTCCCACCATCCACCCCATCAATCTTTCCGTCTCGGCGGTACCCGGTGATTGACCTGCGGGCCAGGTCTTGTCTCGACCCATCAACGCAACCTTATCTTCATACACTCAATCACCATGTCAGATCAATCCGTCACGTCTGTCAATTCGTTGACCTCCCAAGAACGCCGCGAGGCAGAGGCACAGGTCGTCGCCGAACATCTGCCTGCCGGTTACACGGCCGTACTCGACTCTGAACATCCCAACAGCCAAAGCCAGACTTCCCAAGATGGCTCCTCCGAAGCGACAACGCACACCCGAACGGTGTCAACCAGCGAGCGTTCCTCCAAGGGATCCTCTACACGGGCTGGCTCGACAACAACACCATCACCCAACGGAGTAGACAGCACCGCCGCCTCCTCCCTTCGTCTTCAAGGAGGAGACATCCACCGCGACCTCTTCAAGATTGACGCCTCCGCCCGCCTCCAACAACTTCACCGACGAGCCAACACCTTCCACACTCCCCGCGAGTTCGAGCAAGACCCCGAAGTGCCCGGCATGACCGTCTCCGAAACACTTGCCCCGGGTGGCTTCCGCCGCGCCTTCTTACATCAAAAACATGGAGGACCCCAAAACTTTTTAGCCGCGCGAATGCCCATCACCCGCAACTTCGTCGAGTTCCTTGATCTCTACGGTAGTTTCGCCGGCGAAGACCTGGCCGACTCCGATGAAGAAGCCATCGAGGATGAATCCGAAGCCGAAGCAGAAGAAGTCGAAGAGGAGGCACGCATAGGCGAGACTACGGCCCTTTTAGGTCGTCGTCTCTCGCGCCGCCTCTCTCACCACCACCAGCGCTCCGCCACAGCCGGCACGACCAAGACCTTCTTCACGTTAATCAAGGCCTTTGTCGGCACGGGCATCATGTTCCTCCCCAAGGCTTTCGCCAACGGCGGTCTCCTATTTTCTTCCCTAGCTATGGTCTTCGTGTCAGCAGTCACTATGATCGCCTTCCACCTCTTGCTCCAATGCAAACAACACCATGGCGGTGGCTACGGCGAGATCGGCGCCGCTATTTCGGGGGAGCGCATGCGGACCTTGATTCTCGGCTCCATCACTTTATCTCAGCTGGGCTTTGTCTGCGCAGGCATCGTTTTTGTAGCCGAGAACTTGACTTCCTTCCTCAATGCCGTCACCGCGGGCTCACAAGCGCCGTTGTCATCGGTAGCGCTAATCGCAATCCAAGTTGCCTTGCTTGTCCCGCTTTCCTGGATCAGGAATATCTCCAAACTCGGTCCTGCCGCCCTCCTCGCAGACGCCTGCATCTTGATCGGCGTGTCATACATCTACCAATTCGACTTCCGCGCCCTCGCCCAAAACGGAATCCACAAGTCCGTGGTTTTATTCAACCCCGAGCGCTACACGTTGATGATCGGCTCGGCAATCTTCACCTTTGAAGGCATCGGCCTTATTTTACCGATCCAGAGTTCAATGGCTAAACCCCAGCGGTTCGAGTACCTGCTAGGCATAGTGATGGTTCTCATAACCATCGTCTTCACTTCGGTGGGAGCATTATGTTACGCAACCTTCGGCACCCAAACACAAATCGAAATCATCGATAACTTCCCGCAGGACAGCAAGCTCGTCAATGCCGTGCAATTCCTTTACTCCGTCGCAGTCCTAGTCGGCACCCCCGTGCAATTATTCCCCGCACTACGCATAATCGAGGGTAAAGTGTTCGGCCAACACTCCTCCGGCAAAAGAAGTCTAAAGACGAAGTGGATCAAAAATGTGTTCCGGATGGCGCTGGTAGTTTTCTGCGGCGTGGTGTCGGTGTTGGGCACGGGGAACCTGGATAAGTTCGTTGCGCTTATTGGGTCAACGGCGTGCGTACCGCTGGTTTATGTGTATCCGGCTTATTTGCATTATAAGGGGGTGGCGACGAGTAAGTGGGGGAAGGTGGGAGATGTGGTTATGATGGTTCTGGGCATGGTTTGTATGGTTTACACTACGGCTGTGACGGTTTATTATAGTTTTATGTGAGAAGAAACGAAAGTGGTGGCGATGTTGGGAATTTGGTGTACATGGAGTTCTTGGGTGGGACTGTGGGAGTTATAGACTGGAAGAGAAAAACACGGGAAAATCTGGACCTTTTCACTTTGCGGCGGTTCATTTCAGTTGCGTACCATACCTAGGGTTCATGTTGATCAGGTTGTTCTATTAAAAGCGTAAGAGAAATAAAGCACTGATTGATGTCTTGGAGAAAACGATCTGTGTACATAGCTAGCACGATACTGCCAATAACGTCTGTTGCTTTTCAGAAAGACAAACCCGAAAGCATGGAAACCACAGAACCAACTTCGATATTCCCGCGCTTTCCCCATCCATCTATCACACAGCTTCTCTTGCATATTGTCCATCCATCCCATAGGTACCTTACCACATAGGTAAAGCAAAGGGAGGGTTCGCGTCTTGGAACTGCTAAAAGGGTCACCCTTCGATGAAAGAGATGATCGTGCTGGATAGAGTCTTGTGAATCTGACCTTCATTCAAGTATAATACATTGCTTTGTGTCAGGCTTACTTTGCATTGGAATTTCCAATTAAAGCTACCGTGAGGTTCCTTGATGTTGCTTTTGTTGGTAGACCTACACAATTTGAACATGGTCCATAAAAAAGAGGGTTTGAACATCGTGAGTGTGATGTTATTGACAATGATGCCCACTTCATCCACGAGCGACTCACTTGAACAGTTGACCATAGGTACCTTTCAACAACTCCAAAGAGTCAAAGACACATGGACCTACAAGATAGACTTAGGTGACTGTCTTTGGGGGACACTATGAAATATTTTGCTTGCTGCAGGTGCCGTATGCAATTTCTTGTATCTCATGACAGTGATGAGTCTTAGGGTAGCCATTAATCGCTTGACCAATTTCTGAAAGAAAACCTTAAGTACCAAAGCCGATGTGCTTACATGGTGGAGAAGGCGCAAGATGGTGCTGGAGCAACTGCCGGTACTGGCAGGAAAAATCTTTGAAGCGGATGGCAGTTCAGAAGAGCCCCAAAGACGACGACGCTATGAACAACAGCAAGTTGTAAAAGTACGTTGGTAAACAATCCAGCTGTTCTGCCCATTTACTGTCCTTGTCTCAAGATCAATGTCCCGAATTCAACGGCCGTCATAGACGGAAAGACAGGGCATTGGACGGACCTGTATAAGAACAACATGTTCTGGCCACAAGAAGTATCTGGATAGCTTACAACATCATTCTCACACTTTAAGGACGGCAGCTTAGGACTTAAGTCATCGCTCAATTTGGTACCAGATAGACAGAAGTCATGGCTCCAGCCACTACACGCACGAAGCAGAAACTGAACAAGCCGACGAAGCCTGCCAAGGAGCCTAAGAAGACGACCACTAGACTGATCCCCATAACGAAGGCCAAGACAGCAGTCACCAAATCAACTCCCAAACCAATCGCCGCCCTCGCTCCCAGAGCAGAAGGACCACCGGATCAGCAACTTGCCTCCAGTCACAGGGCAAAAAGCCTGCTTCCGTCCCTCTAGGACAAACGCAAGCTTCCCCAGGTCTAAGTTCCCACAAGGCGACTCCAGCGTTGACTTCCACTTCCAGCAAACCCAAGGGCATATCGTCCAAGTCAGACCCAAACATTTCACTGAGAATGGATACCTCTGCGAGAAACGCCAAGAAACAGATGGTGAGAAAGGATGTCGCTCGTGCCAAGGAGAGATCCAACTCGCCATTACCGCTGGCCAGAGGATCGACAAATGAGACAAAGACACTCGCGTCCGCAAACGGATTGGGGATGGGAATGAGGGAGTATATTAGAAGGATGAATAGCAAAACCGCATCGTCGATGACCAGAACACAGCACACTAGGCGTAGGAACAACGCGGGTGATGCCGAGAGAACCTCAAGGGAAGAGGATGTGGAGATGGTTGATCGCAGGGGTGATGGAGAAAGTCAACAGCAAAGGAAGAAGCAGAGGGAGAAAGCACAGCAACTGCACATGGCGCAGGGGAAGCCCGGGGACAAACTGCAAAAGAGGGGACAGGATAAGGAGGAGGAGAATGATGATGATGATGATGATGAGGAGGAGGAGGAGGAGGAGGAAGAGGAGGAAGAAACCACTGGCGACGTTAATGATCTCCACATGGACGACGGGGGTGTCCAGGCTGATGGAGACGGAGATGTCTCGATGGAGGAGGCAGACAATGACGAGAATGGTGGACAGAAAACGCTCGATGATGAAATCGATGATCTTGACATGGACGACGGCAGTGTCGAGGTGGATCGAGAGGGCAATGTCACAATGCATGATGGGGAAGATGGGAACCAAACGCTTGGTTTTTCCTTTCAACAAGATCTGGACGAGGATGGGGAAGATGCGGATATGGAGGAGGAGATTGAAGCAGAACCTGAAGATACGGATATGATTCCCGAAAGCGAGAGGGAAGATGAAGGCGGCGATGGCGGCCAGTTGGGTGTTGAGGAATGGGGCGATGTGGAACGGGGTGAAGTCGCAACGCCAGGGAGTGCAATTGATGAAGGAGAGGACGAGGAGGAAGTTGTGAAAGAGGAGGACGAGGAAAGCGAGAATGAGCCAGAGATTGAACAAGAGTGGGCAGCCGATGGAGGGGCCGAAGGCGGAGAGGGAGGAGGTGAGGAAGGAAGAGCGGATGGAGAAGAAGGTCGAGAGATGGAGGAGAAGGGAGATAGCGAGGAAGAAGATGAAGAAGAGGGAGATGACGAAGGAGTCGAGAAGGAAGGAAGCGAATACGAGGGTGAAGAGATCGAGGTTGAGGAAGAAAGTACTGGAGATCCGGCAGATGAAAATGCAAGTGCAGACGCAGATCCACCTGCACCTGCACTTGCACCAGCACATGCTGAAGAGGAGGTCACGTCAACCGGAGAGGAAGTAAACAACGACTTCGCAACAAAAACCCCGGCACCAACAGCGGAAGAAGGAGAGAACACTCGAATTTACAACAAAGTCAAGGAGCTGATTCAAAACGTCCCATCAAGGCACTTCGTCTACTGCAGAACGCTCGACAAGGATGATGACAGAAAACATCTGGCCTTCAAGGCTTACGATGTTCAGGGGAACATGGAAAGGTTCAACACGGAGACTTTGCAGAACAGCGCGGAGCACCTTGGTAGGCTCATTGAAATAGCCAGGGGGATTTATGAGAAGGAAAACGGCTGGGAGTTTGGCCATCTCAAGCGTGACTGTGCCTTCCCGATGCCTGCACAGGTGCAAGAGAGAAGGACCGAGAAGAAGAAAGGCACGAAAGCAAAAAAGGAACAAGAGCCAACACACAAAGGCCTTGTCACGATTGCTGATAGTGGTACTTGGGAAGATGATGATTCTAATCATGGGAGGCAATGGGCCAGGTATATCCAGGATCTGGCGAACGAGGCTGCAGATATCCTAGGGCCGTCACCCACAGTCAGATTCAAGCCACATCCAGAGTTCATGTGGGTATGGACGGAGAAGAGTTTGTTTCCTGACTACGACTTGTAAGTTTCCTTTACCCGAAAACGTTCACTTGACGGGTACAATTAGACTAATCGGTCAAACAATCAACAGAAGGCTAAACAATCCACCCGAGAAGTATGCTGGCAGACTGCTGGTCATTCTAGCCGGTCTCGAGCACCAAGACGGCGAGTTTGCGTTCAGCTGCGAGAACAGGTGCCATTACTTTGATCCAAAGACGAAGCCATGCCTCATTGCCACGTGAGTGTCCTAGACATTCGCTTTTGCCATCGATGTCTACCTACTAACCAAATAGACGCACGCAGATTGGGTGAGAGTGGGGCCTTTGTCAACACGCTTCCTCTGACCTCTGGCTACCGCATTGGTTTAGTATACCAACTGCATTTCACCAACAAGGAAATGATAAAACAGAATACGGCCTACAATACAGTCAAGTATCTCAACGACTACGAGAAAAGATTTCTCGACGGGCTCAAAACATGGCGTAACAGATTCCAAAACCATGAGGCCAGCAAGCAAAATGGGATTCACTGGATGGTATATTATATCCTGAAGAAGCAATCACTTGATAGCCCCAAAGCATTCGACCCGCCTGCCGATCTGACCCCGGCGCAGAAACTGCAGCTGACCTGGCTTTACAAACTTTGCGGACAAATACCAGGGAAGCGCATCGGAGATAAAGTTTACAACGAGCCGCTACTTGTTGATCTGGCGGTACTCTCTTGCAGAACTTATGAAAAGAAGAAGAAGGATGGGAAAACTGGGGAGCGTCCGGGATTTGAACTTGAATGGACGGCAGATGCGGATTGTATTGAAAATGATGAATGGGAGCCCGACGACAGCGCGGATGGAATAGAGGTAAAGGCTGAGGAAATCATCAACTTTGATGATTTCGGGTCGAGCGGTAAAGATCAGTATCTGGTAAGACCGCCCCTTGTGTCTTGGATGCCTTGTCTTTCTCACGTCTTCTGAGTCGCTAACCTTGTGCTATTTTCTTATCCGCAGTGCTTCAGGCTGAACATCGCCTAGTGACGGCTGACCGAGTCAGTTTAGTCCGTTAGTCGGTCAAGGCAGTTGGTCAGAAAGGAGCAGTTTACTCCGAAGCAGAATTTCCGAGAACGAATGGAGTTTTAGGTCTCGCTTTTTGGTCTCAAACTGAGACACATGCTACAGTCCAATGCCGTTTCTCGGTTCTTCATCTTTACAATTCCTTCCACCACACCCACTCCGCCGAGATCGTCATCCCACACCCAAACGGTGCATTTCTCTCCGTGCGTGTGGCGCTTTTCCACACTACCACCCTATAATCTCCCCCTGTTTCTCGCTAATCAACCAGATCCATGGTTGTCAGGTCGAATTTCTTGGGGATGGAGTAGACATGTCATGCTTTTTCGGTGTAAGATGGGATAAGGAAGGAAATGCCGAAGCCTGTGGTCATGGAAAGGCAGGAGGATTGCGAACCACATCGGCACAACACACCCATGTTCGCACGCATGTCCCAGGTTTTTGTTTATCAGGCAGAGTTACATGGTTCACGTGCGTGCAATGGGCACCGTGCTTCGATGTGCGATGGAAACCATGTGCCTCGGATATTTCGGGGGAGGCGTCCAAGCACAGAGCACAGCACCAGGCGGGCGTCGTTACACAACATGTCCCACAGGCAGATAGGGGTTTGATAGGTAAGAAGGTAGGAAAGTGGTGGGATGACAGTGTTGTTTGGTTAATGATTGGAACCGCCCAAATTCAGGGTGCTTACAGGGTGGGTTCATTGGCTAGAAATAATATCAGAAGTTGTTCAAGACAATGAGTCAATGACGACGTCCAGTCAGGTTGTGTACTGTAGGAGATCTAATCACATCACAGCGTGCTAGTGTGGCTTTGGAGTTTCGAAAATGTGAGATCGCAGTCGGGGAGTTGGTACTTTTCTCCGATGTGATTACCGTTCCTTTGTTCAAGTCCAACCGGTCAACAACAAATACAGATACCGGACAAGTGGAAGAAGGATGTTTCGTGACAGGGCCTTTTATCTTGATTATCTTGATCAACAAAACACCAATCCGCTGCAATCATTGCTGTTACATGGACCACTGTAATCCTTCAGTGTCCCAGTGTCCAATGTCCCCTTCATCCATTCCCGCGGGTGTGGTACCCATCAAAGTTGCATTTGCCCAAATGCCAAAATTCGAATAGCGATCCAATGTGATGGGTCGCACAGACTTTTGACTGACAAGGGTGTAAAGAGACGGGCTTTGGCGTCGGGCAACCTTCACGACTGGGATGCTTATTGCCTTGGTCCAACCACGTGGTGCATGTCGGTGGAACAACAGTATGACCATACATACATACCTTGTACATGTCCATGTCTTCATGTTCCCGGTCACCTTCTTTCGCAGACCGAGGGAAGCATATCGTTGGAACCCGTAAAACCCTGGCTCGTCATGGATTTGGTTTTTGGTTCTTATGCCATTGCGAACCGAACGCACCGTAGGTTTGGTAGCGTCGGTTGGTGGTTGATTGGCCGCCAAAGAGCCTACTGACGATGGTGGCTTGCTCTGATATCGTGAACACTAGCACTGTACGGTATGAGATCCAACATGCCGGGATCAAGGGGTGCTTTGTTCGCTCCTCTTCACCTCCTTCTGTCCCGTCCGGCTGGCCCTGTTGGTGGCTCGACCTCGATAGGACAATGATATATCGTACCGATGAAATGGCACACTTTTACTCCGACTAGCGCGATCAAGTACCGATATTCAAGTACTTGATACCCTTACTTCCCCGTCCCGTGTCGATGATATCGTGGCCCGCGGGCCTCATTGTTGCTCTCTCCGAGTTTTTTATATGTGTAAAAACCTCCTCCTTCACTTCGTTGTTGGTGGCTTATCTGATCCTGCCGCTTCTTCCAAGTCCTTTATTGTTGACTGATAGTTGGACTTGGACTACCCGAGTGAACGGCCTGCCAAACCTTTGAACAGAGCCTTCCAACGACCCCGTGAACTCAACGCCACTATTCACCCAACAGAACAGTCATCCAGTTCAGAGTTCAGGTTCAAGTCTTCACGATGGCGACCTTGGATGGTGAAGGGCTGGGGCTGGGGCTACATAAGCCCCAAGACATGATGATGTCTCCGTGGACTGTTGCAGCTCTCCAACGATACAACAACAACGAGTCTGGAGGAGAAGATCACGACCTTCAACTGCCCACGACTTTCGACATCGACTATCAGAATCTTTCTCTGCTACTCCAAGAAGCACAAGCGGCAGCCATATTATACCCATCACAGTGCGCAAAACCGAAGCCCTCGTACCCTGGAGGTACCATTGTTCGGCCCTGCAGCATTCCAGTCACCGTTACCACCCTCGTGGTTCCGGCACTGCGATCTGTAGCCGGAGTGGTGGCGACGAAGGACCCCTACTATTCCTCGGAAGCAAGCCGATCGGGCGATTTGTCCCAGGGCCCCACCCACACCACTACCGATTACCGAGTTGGAGAATACGACACATCGGCTGTACCCCTGAGGCGGCGGCGGAGGAAACACAACATACTTCCTTTTTCGGCAGTCAACATGGGTACCTCTACAGGCAGCCGCTGTCTGGAAACCTCAACCTCGACCGAGGAATTGTGGACTGGTACTATCAAACCAGCTGTACTCCTCAACGGTATCAAACCATGTCTACTCCGAAAAGATTGCTTCACAGTTAGGACTTTGGAGTTTGAAGTGCCATTAGACCATCATTCTCGTCACACTTTCCAAAAAGATGCCCTAAAACTGCACGCAGAACTTGTAGACGGCTTTCCATCTCCCAACCACCCCAACCCAACACCAGATGCCCTCAGTAGTGTCCCCATATCCACCCAGAAACCATTCATCCTCTACCTCTGCGGTGGTCCCGGAGACGGAAACCCTTCCGAGAGGGTCCCCGACCTGAACAAGGTCTGTATAGACAGGGGCTACCAAGTGCTTTACGTCCACTACCGAGGAACCGGTCTCAGTCCTTTGTTCTCCGACTCGACAGTAAAGGACAAGGTCATGCAAATGTCCGACAATGACAAAGCCAGTTACCTCGCCAAGTTCCGACAAGATAACATTGTTCGCGACCTCGAAGCTATTCGACTCTGCCTCGAAAAGAAACTGAACAACAAAATCAAGTGGACACTCATAGGCCAATCCTTTGGCGGCTGGATAGCCACCACTTACCTCTCCTTCCTCCCCGAATCCCTACAAGCAGTGTACATCAGCGCCGGGATGCCACCGCTGGGCAAGACACCGAGGGAGGTATACGAGAAGACGTATGCCCATATTGTTAGGAGGAACGAGGATTACTTTAATGAGTATTTTCCCGAAGACCAAGAACATGTGCGGACTATTGTTGAGCATTTGAGGGATCAGGCACCGTTGCAGAAGGGTTTTGGGGTTGATGGACAGCCTGCGCAGTTCAGAGGGTATGAGCTGTATGGAGAGAAGGGAGAGAGCAGAGGGACTTATTTGACTTACCAGACTTTCATGACGCTGGGACGGACGTTTGGGTCTGCTCCTGTTGTTAGCAGAGACGAAGAGGAAGATGACGACGAACAGCTATCACCCACCAGCTCAATCGGGGCTCTGACTATCAAGCCCAGCAAGAGCTCGTTGGCCTCCTCCAGAGTCACCCATACCACTGACGCTGATACACCGAGCGCATCAGCGTCCTACCGATCTTCGGTGGCCACGAGCTTCACATCCACTTCCGACCTGTCTTCCCTCCCGGAACCAACAACAAAAATCCCACCCGCCTACGCAAAGCTGCACAACCTCATAACGTATCTAATCACCGACCTTAACTCATCGTCATCTAAGGGCATCTCCCAAGAAACACTAACCCTCTACACAAACCTCGAATCATTCGCCCTCCACCGCCGCCCCCTCTACGCTTTACTTCACGAAGCAATCTACTGTTCTTCCACTTGCTCACAAACCAGCCAACCATCGAACTGGGCTGCTACAGAGGTCGCTTTGTCTCATCCATCTGGCGGCTTCAGCTGGCTTTCCCCTTCCCCTTCTCTCTCCTCTTCCCCTTCCACTTCCTCCTCCGCTACCTCCACCACCTCAATCTCATCAATTATATCAACGAGGAAGGAGGGAAAGGGAAAGTACTACTTCACAGGCGAAACCCTCCACCCCTCCCCTCTCTCTGCCCTCGGCGGTTCTGCACTCTCCCCCTTCTTAGGCGCAGCCGATATCCTCGCCCGGAAAAATGACTGGCCGGCTCTATACTCCCTTCCTTCTCTCCAAGCAAATAGGGAGGGGGTAAGGGTGAGGGCAGTGGCATACAAAGAGGATATGTACGTGGATTTGCAGCTGTCGAAGGAGGCGGCGCGGATGATTGGAGGGTGTGAATTAGTTGTTTGTCCTTTTCGGGAATGGGGACATGGGAGTATTAAGGAGGTGGACAAGACGGAGACGGTGTTGGGGTGGTTGTTTGATGGTGTTTGAGGGGTGATGGAAAAGGGGGTTTGATGGGGGAGGTTTGAAGTTGAGGTTGAGGTTGAGGTTGAGGTTGAGGAAGAGGAGGAGGAAGAGCCAGGAAGAGGAAACAGGATGAGACTCGGTCATTAACAAAGAAGGGAAAGAAAGGAAAGGAAGGAAGGAAGGATACGAGTGGCCGATTTCAGTGCTTACCTACCTGCTGCATAGATGGGAAGGGGCCAACGGCGTTTGGAGGTCAATTGTTTTCAGCATTGGAAGGCGACTTCTCTGGTTTTCTTGTTGAGGATTGGTGGGATTGGGTAAGATATCGTACTTCGGCGTTAATTCTCTTCCTGTCACAATTCCTCTGTGCCTGACTTAGAGGAAGGGGGCGCTCCAACGCTCAAATTGTGTCCTGTATTCATCAAGTAGACCGTAATTGGAAGGGGCGTCGTGAATGAGATGCCAAACTATCTTAAGGCTGGCTAAAATTGCACGGCATCCATTAGTGAACTAGCAACGATATGCGAATTGCCATCTGCTGAGGGCCATTTTTACACACTGGGGGCACCCATATCCCAGCGCAAGGGACATGGACTTGACATGAACACATAGAACCAGTAAAAACCCAATAGTATTGACCAGGTATCCAGCCCCGGTTCCTATTCATTCCATTCGGGTAGGCATCTATCGTATGGCAGGATGAAGATACTGTCGCCTCTAGCATCTCCCACGAAGTGAGTAGAGGGTCCGTTCCTTCATCCCGTCCACGCTGACGAGAACCTAGCCGGACCAGCCGGCCCTGCCTTGTTCAAATCCCTAAACTCCAGAGTCCTTCAGACTAATACTTTCCTGGGTTCTTGAAAGTCCTGACGTACGAAGGACGCTCAAGCAGTACTTGTATTCAATCCTTCCTCGGCTAAAGTGGTCTCCAGGCCCAGTTTGAATCAGCCTTGGTAGGCTCGAGCTGAACCTATTGTCCACCTCCTTCATCAAGCTGGAGCTTTTCGAAGATATCATGCTCTTCCTTGGTATCTAGTTATCAAGGAAGGCGCACAGGTCGTTAGTACCGTGACCAGCAAGTGGGCGGAAGGAATATGCTTCAAGGTGTAAGAAACTTACATTCCCGTTCCTCCTTGGTGACTTCCGCCTTCTGATTGGTATAGACCAACGGCGCAGTTTCACAGGGAACGGGGATTGTCGACGGATTTTCCTCATCCAACTCCTCTTCGAGGCAACCCTCCACATAAACTGTGAACTCCATCTTAATGGGATGGAAAGGGAAGTCTTGGAGATTAACCATCTGCACATCTTGAAAGATAAAATAGAGTGGATGAGAGTTATAACCCGTCCTCAGTGGCCAATTAGGTGGTTCCAGAAGATCCTGATTCAATACGCAGGGGCTAGTCGAGGGGCAGGAATGTTGTCGGGGATCTTTTTATGCGCCTTCCATTCTTCAGCTAGCAGAGGCGTCTCCGCGAAAGGGCCATCATCGTCTTCACTTCCGTCGGAGTATGTCACATCTCTTCCGTCTGGATATTTCTCTCGCCTTATCGTAGTTAGCCGGAGGACAGCATCGATTCCACTCCAAAGCAACGGCGCCGGATCCAGCTTGATAACCACGTGGCCGATCTTCCCATCGAGGCCGACTTCTTTCGGGGGAGGGAAGAAGACCGTGAGTTTGCATTGCGTCCTTGCATTGGGAGTGTCAGACGAAAGGTCGTGGCTGGTAACGTTCTCCGCTGAAACCCTGCTCGTTGAGTTGTCGGAGTCACTACGGAGACGACCGGGTGCCATTTTGTTGGAGTTGTTGGATTATCTAGTGCAAATCGTTTCGAGTGAGGTTGAGCGAGGATAGGTGAATATTGCTGGGTCTTGAACGTTGCGATGAAGATGATAGCGACGAGGGAATAATCCGGGCGGCATCTTGTCGATTTATACCTCCGACCAAGTCGAAGAAGGAGTCACATGGGTTGGCAATCTCAACGAACCGCCGCACTTTCTGTGTCAAAGCCAACACCTCATTAGCTCTCTTGATGCCACTACTCCTGATCAAAGATCTGTCTTTGACCAAAGGTGAATTCGTCGGAAGACTCAGTCGATGGCCCCATCACGGCGTCACAGTTCTTTCTTCATGCTGGACACTCGAGTCTTTCCAATCGCGCACGACAGGTGTTTCCTTTGCGTTCTGCTCCAACAGAGAACGTCCAGTGTCAGCTACACGAACAAGTCGAAAAGTTGAAGCCTGGTTTCGGTAGAGTACTCATCAAGCGCTTTGTGTATCCATCTCCGGATCTGGCTGATGACCCATCTTAAAGCGCTCGAGCATCATCCAACGCCAACAACCAAGGCGTTATATCCCTTCATGTTTACAAGTGGAGTGGATTTGCATGATCTGGTTGGTGAGGCCCCGGGCGTCTAATGGATGGCTTTGAGATCTGGTACGGCGTTGCTAAGGTAGATGTCGTGGACTCGTGGTGGATTCTCTTGTTCGGTGAATCTTCATTGTCGTTGATGGCTGTACGCTGTGAGGTCTGCTTGTAAAAGTAAAACCCAACGATGGCTCATTGTTTGTTGGATTCTCGGTTGAAGTCCGATACTTACCTGGGAACCGGTTCCAACGCACACTTGTTGGCTGGTGCATAGGTATGAATCGAGACGATAAGGGGCACAGCGCTGACGGATTCGGATGTTAAAGTTACGGCGCGGCGCAATGAGGATACGTACTTTGTGAGAACCATTGAACTTGGATTTCAGAAGCCATGATGGGATTTGGACGATGGATGATAAATGGAGAAGTCAGTGTTTAAGGAGTGACTGACGAGTGTCCGCCTGGCCTGGTTAGGATTTCAGGTCGAGCCTGCATTCCCGTGACATATACAGATGTGTAGTTATCAAATGCTGCGCATAACCGGTGCTGTTACTGTTAGTGCAATAACGGCGTCACGATTGCATGTGCCAACAACCGCCACCACTCCAAACTGCAAGAACCACCAACCAACATTCCAAATGAATGTTACACGCCAGGAAAGCGTCACATTTGCAGAATTCCTGGAGAAGTCTGTTCGGGGTAAATCTGCCATGGCATATTTTCTTTTTTTACTACAACTAAGTATCATCCTGTCACCGCGCCCTGGTTCCTCTCTGTTTTAGAAGTCACATAACGGACAGGACGTGACTGCACCAGGTGGTTAACGTGTGGCTCGTTCATTCTTTGTCTAGAAGTCTATCCATTACACTGATCACCAAGGTAAGATACGGTTCTAATTTTTGCTCATACCAACTCAACAGTACTTCAAGTCAACGCCGTTCCAACCGGCCAACTTCCTTTACCAAAGTCAACATCAGAGGACCAAAAGTCCCAGACTTTTCCACCCACCTCCGCTTTGTGCTTTTCTCCTTAAGTGCTCTCGCATTCTTCTCCTCTACCTCATCCCCCCTTCTTCACCTTTATCCCCCTTACTCTCTCCCTCATTTCCCCTTCCTCACCTCTCTCTCACACCATCTCCCCTTCACCTCCCATTGTCCACCTACCCATCAACCCTAACACCCCCAGGCAGCACTCCCCCCTCCAACACCCCCTCCCACTGCTCCCCCTCCCCTGTTACTTTCTGCTCCAACTCCTCCACCAGATTCATCTCCTCGCTACTCTGCAGAAACTCCTTGAACGTCTCACAAGTCTCGATCCGTCCACCATTATCCCCACAGCTCTCGTCTCTCAGCGCCTTTTGCAGGAGGTCAACGTCCCACCCGTTGAAGAAATCGGCGTGGTAGCCGTACCCGGTTTTGTCGCCGTTGGAGAAGACGAAGGGTTGTTCTCCTTTATCATACGGTGATTCCGGAGAAGTGAGATTGCGCAGGTGATTAAAAGCGTCCACAGCCCAGGTCATTTCGTACAGTAACGCCGGGATACGGAAGGGATGAGTGGGGGGACATTCGCCTGTGTCGCCGCGCGAGGGGTAGGCGACGTGGGAGCCGTTGTATGCTGATTTTGGTGCTGGTGTCGTTGCTGTTGAGTTACCGTTGCCGTTACCGTCATCGTCAGAATCAGAATCATCATCACCACCCTCAAAACCCCCCAACCCAACCCCATCCCAACAAGAAGGAAACCTGATCCGTATCTGCAATCCCCCATCACAAGTCCTACCAGGAAACCCACGAAACGGGTCCAGCCCCTCTTGCCCATCCGTCAACAAACAAATAAACTGAATCCCCCTCTGCTCCACACTATTTTCGTCATACGTCCTCCGGGCCGAATCGCCTGCTATCATCCTAAACCCCTCAGGAAAAGCCAACACTTCTTTACCGGCGCAGTAATCGGTCCAGTCGAGCCGTTCCTGGTAATACACATTTATTCCCCCGACTTGCTGCACGGACTCGAGCGAGCCGTTGGCGTGCCGGAAGTACACGGTTGGCACCCAGTAGTTGGATTTGTCGCGGGAGACGGCGCACGTGGTGCGCACGTGGTGGGCTTGGGTTTGGGCGTAGGTGAGAGAGAAGTTGAAGGCGGAACCGCCCATTACTGTGTGGAGGTGGGCGGAGGGAAGGCCGGGGGAGATGATGGGGTCGAGACGGTCGATGGTTATGGGCTTGCCGCAGCCCATTACAAAGAAGGCTTTGATGGAGGGTTCCTGGCGGATGCAGGTTGATATGTCTGAGGGTTGGGCGGCGGTGGCGGCGGTGGATACTGAGGTGCCCGTGGCGGGCAGAGGTAGAGGTTGGGGGGCTGCGAGTACCGCCGAGGGGACAGCGAGGAAGCATGTTAGCCAGAGGATACCACTGAGTGGTATCATCTTGGACTGTTGGATTGGGTTGGTAAAGTAGTGGCTGAACTGAGTGTGTAGAAAGATCGTTCCGTTGCGAGCGGTAAAACAAGCAAGAGGGAGGATAGAAGTGAGCTCGACTGGTAGGGAAAAGGAAAGCAAGACGCAGAAAGATTTGCAAGATAAATGATCTTGATTTAAACAAGCTGGACATTGCCACGCCGAGACAACAGGAAACATGAAACAAATGACAGGAACAGCATGCATCACGGTTAGACACACTCGAACACTATGAAACGATGTGGCTTGACCGTTGAGTATGTTGGTAGCCATGATGTTTGTGTGTGCAATATTAAAACCCGTTTGTCGTCGGATGGACGACACGGCAGAGATCCGCGGAGACCAACAGCCAACGATCCGGGTCCAGTCGATAACGAGATCTGAGACGGCTGGGCTGGGGGTCATTTAAACCACTGCCCCATGTTCTTTATCACGCAGCAACCAACTGAACTGACCGATAGTTGCCCGCAAAAGAAAGCAGTCGCATCGCATCGCAGAATCGTAAGTGGGATTGGGATCGAAAAGGTGAGTGTGAAACATTCCGTCAACGCCAGTGTTTTGTTTGTCCCTGTCCTTGATAATGATCATGATATATCACATATTCCGGTAATCGTCGTCGCTGTTTCAACACTGACGCACGCTACAAGTTTCGCTTGGGCTCTCGTCGGCGCAAGCCAACCACAAACACACCCGTTCATTTCTTCATTCGTCTATTCCCATATCATACAAGAGTCGTCGTGTGGACTGTGATCCATGAATCAATCCGCATTCGCTCCCGCCATCTGGGGGCCGGGACTCGGCCTCGTGGGGGTATTAGAGTACTGCAGTACAGCGGGTCGAACTCGGAGTCGAAGTCTAAGTAGTCGGTGTCGCGTGAAGGAGAGGCGATGGATAGCGTATGTGCATTTATTGCCTGTATATGGTCGTCGAAGGTTAGTTTCGGAGATACAGACAGGACTGTGACACTATGGGTATAACGAACACAACGAGCATCTCGCCCCAAGAGCTGGAGAGGAGGGCGACGGCAGCCTGTGGTGGAAAGGTATGTTAGTATATCGGACCATATATGGATGGATGGCTATGGAGCAGATAGGGTCGGGGATCGGGGCCCGTGGAAGAAAGACACTCACGCCGAAGAAGGCGATGCTGCGGACGACGGAAGCGTTCTCAGCAGAAGTGAGGGAATCGTAAGTAGAGCGGATGAAGCCCTTGGACTTGCGGCTGCCACCGGGGCGCTCGATGTATCTGGCGGAAGGCATGGTGATTGAGTGTCTGTCGGGGGGTTGTCGCGATAACGGGGCTATCGGTTGATGGAGTTGGGAACTGGAGGGACCGTAACTGACGCCGTTCGCAATCGCGGACTGCTGGAACCTCGAATGGAAATTTTGGGACTTCCTGGCAGGCAGAAGTGCCAGCGGCAGACATGGATGGCACGTGCCCCTGGCCTTGCTTTATCGGAGGATGCTTGGCACCGTCATTTGGCTGTTATCACTTACACCGAGGTGAGTCCATGAGAGACACCTTTCAGGTTGAACAATGAAGGCTTGGAACTGATGGATCAGTATGGGATGTGTTACTGTTTGACCTGTTTCAAGGTCAGTCTTCTCATGTTCAGCAATGATCGTGATGTGGAAAGGATTCAACCTTCAATCACTTTTGTTGACTGGCTCCCCTTGCAGTTCCCCGGCAGGCAGGCCCTGTGAGGGGTGGGGTTCTGGTGCAGGTCCCACTTCCCCCGCTGTTTGTCACTGCTCAATCCACTCGTCATGTCATGCATTGTCATGTGCTGGAATCTGCCACTGAACTCTGGGCTCTCAACTCTCACCACTTGTCACCTTCTGCCATCGCAACCATTGTCATCCCACGCCATCCTCCCAAAGCCTACCTCTAGTTCTAGGTACTATAAGTGCTTCTCGTCGCCAATTGTCTCGACAAACACCACCCACCACCACATCCTCGATACGTCATACACCAATGGCTGAAAACGAACGCTCCGTTTCCCCAACTGCGCCAGCTCCCGGTGGCTTCGTGCCTCCCACGATCCCTTCCAACTCGTTACCATCTCCAGCACCCAGTTCAGCATCAGCGGCCGCCGCCTCCAACCTTCCACATCCTCGCCGAACTTCTCTTCGCCCCGGATCCATCAAGGAGGATAAAGTCCGTAATTATGTTTCCGACAAAATGCTGCACATCAGTCGCCGATATGTCAAGCACTTTGCCATTCCCGATCCCAGCGACGAAATCACCGGCTACAAGTCCATGGCCGAATTGTGCAAAGACCTGGACGACGTGATAAATATCATATGGCTATCTGGTACTCGTGAGTCCAATACAGCCTTCGAGTTTCCTCCTCGTGCGTTGTTGGTACTAACGTCCCTCTAGCCAGCCTACAAATTCCCTACCTGCTCAACATCGCAAGCGAATTCACCACCTGGCTTGAAGGCTTCCCTCCATCGCCATCAGCCACCTTCTCGCTACTACGAAAACTCGACCACTGCTTCGCCAGTCTCCTATTCGGTTATGACATCGACACCCAAGAGACACTCCCGGGCTTTGAAAATGGCCTCCGAGCCGGTCTCTCCCGAACCGACATGGTCCGCTGCAAGAGTGTTATAGAGCGCACCCGCGTGCTAGTAGTCGAGGTCATGTCGAAAGAGCCAGCCGACGAGGACCAAGATGGTGGTATTGGCGGTCCAGGCATCCAGACTCCAAAGCCGGACGACGATACAGACGTCGAGGCCGAAACTGATGCTACACACGACATGATGAACGATTTCAATGACGGGGATGATGACGAAGACGAGCTTCTCCACATGAATGTCGCCAAGGTATATGAGAACACACTTGTTAAGCTGGGAGATATCCTAGGAGATGGGGGTGGCGTGACGACAATTCCCATGTCTGTGGATTGATCTGGCCTGCGGCCATACGACCACTTAGCATTTTTCGGTGCTTCCAGAGATGGAGAGGTGTCTGTCACCAACTGCTTCCTCGCCCGGGGTAACAATGGATCTTGTTAAGGTCTTTGTCGAGCCTGCGCCCACAACAAAGGGATGAATGCAGACAACAAGCCGTTTACTGAAAGACCGAGCCGGACATCGGATATCGGAGCTTGCCACTCCCCCAGTAGATGGATGAGTAGCTCATCATCCCAATATTCATGACCGTTGCGATGCTCGCCGGAGATCATCACAGACGGTATTAATGGTTTCATAAATCCACGTCGAACTGGTAAGCAATTCTCATGTCTCGGCTGGCAGGAGGGGCTATTGTTAACCCGAGTTCGCTCTTTACCAGCTCTCGGTGCAGAGAAGATTGTACCGTTTGCGGAAGGTCAGGACTATTTCCTGATATTTGGAGACTTTTGGCTTTGAAGGTTTTGGTACTCTACATTACTGGTAGTCTAGCTGACGCGCTGGCCGAGGTGTTCAAAGGGGTTTTTACCGTGAAACGCGATTGGATCGTAGATTCATGGAGGATTGGAGATAACAGACGCTGGGTTGGTTCATGGCCTCTGTGTTCAGGTACAATCTTCCTAAGCATGGAAGCCTATTATCCCGAGCCTTTTTAAACAACAAGACCTCTGCGCTTTCTGGTGGTTATATGTTGAAAACAACAAACTGGAAACATGGAATCATCTCGATGCACAAGACCCTACAAGTAGCTGTAAGGCGTGCATGACTTGTCCCGTAGAGGGATTAGCCGGTGGGGCGATTGACATGCATGCCACTGTGAATGCGGGGGAGTCCGCGCCACGGGCAGCAGGGGAAAGCTCCAGGGCGGGGGAGGTGGCCGAGGCCCCTTGACCTCGCCCGGTCCTTCCTCACTCGGTCCTTTCCCTGAGCCAGATAGAGGAAATATGGACGAAGGGGCAAGATGAACCGAACTCAACATCCATTCCTGAGTAGAAGGGACCGAGTTACATGTGCGACTCTAACACCTCAAGACACAACCACGACAACAACAAACAGTGGGAACCAAGAACAGCCGACGGGAACAACCACGGGAGTAGGCCGAAGGGACGGAACTGCTGAGAAATGGCCAGTCCAGCACGCAATACGTATTGGTAATTGGATGGCCAACAGAAGAGCATGATGGAGGGTTGCCTCTCCCGTTCGTCGACTTTCATCTTCGATATGTTTCTCTCTTTCCTTCTTGGCGACGTCTCGAGGTTACGCGTTCCAGTTCCACTTTTCCTAGCTGACGCCAGTTCACATGATTACTCTCTCTACTCAGGCATAAATTCGGGCCTTTACGGTCAATTATCAATATATTCAACTCGAAAGTCATCGAGGTTCTTATCGCCATGTTTGCTTGGAGACTGAGCTTCGTCGTTTCGTCCACCAAAGATTGTTAACCAAAAAGGGGAAGAACATCTACCTGCCAATCAGAGGAAAGGGATACTGCAGCTTACGCTCGATTGATGGCCAAAGCAGAGGAAAGCGCATCCCGTCACATCATGCGGCTTTACCACCTTCAGTTCGGTTTTCTATCCGTGTCTAACCATTGCTTCCTGCCCGCCCCTTGTATGTGTACAGTTGCAGTGAGATGCAGTTCCAGTTGCCATCCCTGTGCGTGTTTGTGTTGTGCGGGGTTCGAGCAACGGGAAGGTCACGGGCGGCACTTACATGCAATTTTTCAAGGAGTAAATACGTTGTAATTACGGTATATACACGTCCAGGTGTCAGGGCATCTTCGATTACTGGAGGATGGATCAAGAGTCTAGGAGTTAGAGAGGATTCGAAGGAATCACGGAGGACCAAAGACCTTCTGAGATTATCGCTATACAAGGCGTTTATCATGAAAAAAAAGATAAAGATATAAAAAAACGACTTGGAGGGGATCTGCTGGAGCCAGGGGCGGAAAAGACTTCGAGTACGGTGTAAGTACCTTACATTACATACTTACAGTACGATGCATCTCCTTCTAAGGGTTCACCGTGATGGAAGCCGGGGATAAGTAGGTACTACAAGGTGGATGGAGCAATCATGATCCGAGAAGCTCACACACCTTCAGGGACAGGAGCAGTGACGAGAGACGAGCGGGGGGCGGGGTAGGAATAATTCCTTTGTGTTCCTTCTCTGCGACTTCATATCAACCTCGCCTCTCCCACCCACACCCTCCATTACGGAACCCCTCTCTTTACTAATACGGAGCTTCCCCTCTCCGATATCTTGTGTTTTCTCTCTTCTGCTTCTTCCCTTTTCCCATTCCCGTTCATCGCCTCCTCGCCTGTTCAGCTCCAACGTAAACAAGGAGCTTCAACTTGGAATCGATATTTCAACACCAAAAAAAGATAAACACCACATCAACCAAAATGTCCGAGTGCCCCGTCCGCAAGTCCAACGTCGGTGGTGGTGGCACCAGGAATAACGACTGGTGGCCCGAACAGCTCAAGCTCAACATCCTCCGCCAACACACCCCTGTCACCAACCCGCTCGACAAAGACTTTGACTATGCCGCTGCCTTCAAGAGCCTCGACTATGAAGGCCTCAAGAAGGATCTCACCAGCCTCATGACCGACTCCAAGGACTGGTGGCCTGCTGATTTCGGTCACTATGGCGGTCTCTTCATCCGCATGGCATGGCACAGCGCCGGCACCTACCGTGTCATGGATGGCCGTGGAGGCGGTGGTGAGGGCCAGCAGCGCTTTGCTCCTCTCAACAGCTGGCCCGACAACGTTTCTCTCGACAAGGCCCGTCGTCTCCTGTGGCCCATCAAGCAGAAGTACGGCAACAAGATCTCGTGGGCCGACTTGCTCCTCCTTACTGGCAACGTGGCTCTCGAGTCCATGGGCTTCAAGACCTTTGGATTTGCTGGTGGCCGTCCCGACACCTGGGAGGCTGACGAGTCCACATACTGGGGTTCCGAGACTACATGGCTAGGCAACGAGGACCGTTACGCCGAGGGTCAAGAAGGCCCCAAGGGACATGGTGTCGTCCAAGGTGACGAGTCTAAGAAAGATCACAAGGACATCCACACTCGTGACCTGCAGAACCCCCTCGCCGCGGCCCACATGGGTCTCATCTACGTCAACCCGAAGGCCCTGACGGCATTCCCGATCCCGTTGCCTCGGCCAAGGATATTCGTGTCACCTTTGGTCGCATGGCTATGAACGACGAAGAGACTGTCGCTCTGATCGCTGGTGGTCACACTTTTGGCAAGACCCACGGTGCCGGTCCTACTCATCACGTCGGCAAGGAGCCAGAGGCAGCCCCCATCGAGCAACAAGGTCTCGGCTGGGCCAACAGCTTTGGTCAGGGCAAGGGTCCCGACACCATCACCAGTGGTCTCGAGGTCACTTGGACACCAACCCCTACCAAGTGGGGCATGGGCTATCTCGAGTACCTCTACAAGTTTGAGTGGGAGCAGACAAAGAGCCCTGCTGGTGCCAACCAGTGGGTGGCCAAGAACGCTGAGCCCAGCATCCCGGATGCCTATGACCCCAACAAGAAGAAGCTCCCAACTATGTTGACGACCGATCTGGCCCTGCGCATGGATCCCGCCTATGATAAGATCTGCCGCGACTTCCTTGCGAACCCAAACAAGTTCGCCGATGCTTTTGCCCGCGCTTGGTTCAAGCTTCTTCACCGTGACATGGGCCCGCGTACTCGCTGGATTGGTCCCGAGGTCCCCTCTGAGGTTCTCCCATGGGAAGACTACATTCCTCCCGTAGACTACCAGGTCATTGACGATAACGACATCAAGTTGTTGAAGAAGGAGATTTTGGCTACCGGTGTTGCTCCCAAGAAGCTGATCTTCGTTGCCTGGTCCTCGGCCTCGACCTTCCGTGGCTCCGATAAGCGCGGTGGTGCCAACGGTGCCCGTATCCGTCTTGCTCCTCAAAACGAGTGGAAGGTGAATGATCCTGCTACGCTGCGCGAGGTCCTTTCTGCTCTCGAGTCAATCCAGCAAAAGTTCAATAACAGTTCGAGCGGCAAGAAGGTCTCGTTGGCTGATCTCATCGTTCTCGGTGGTGTCGCCGCCCTTGAGCAGGCTTCTGGCCTGGTGGTTCCCTTTACCCCAGGCCGCAACGACGCCACTCAGGAACAGACGGATGTGCACTCTTTCGGTCATCTCGAGCCTTATGCCGACGGCTTCCGCAGCTACGGCAAGGGTACCGAGCGCGTACGCACTGAGCAGTTCCTCATTGACCGTGCCTCGCTGCTCACCCTCTCGGCGCCCGAGTTCACTGCCCTCATTGGTGGTCTTCGCGTGCTAGAGGCCAACTATGATGGCGGATCCCATGGTGTTTTGACCAAGACTCCCGGCAAGCTTACCAACGACTTTTTTGTCAACTTGTTGGACACCAACACGGCATGGAAGAAGGCGGATAATGAGGGTGAGTTGTTCATCGGCTATGACCGCAAGACCCATGATAAGAAGTGGACTGCCACCAGGGCCGATCTCATCTTTGGATCCCACGCTGAACTTCGCGCGCTTGCGGAGGTGTATGCTTCAGTGGATGGCGAGGATAAGTTTAAGCGCGACTTTGTGGCAGCTTGGCACAAGGTGATGAACCTGGATCGATTCGACCTCAGGCAGGAGGGCCGGGGCCAGAACACGCCCAAGCTTTAGGAGGCTGATCGAGTACTGCTGTACAGCAGAGAGCTGCGTTGGCGGATTGCTTGGATGGAGGCTGATCCGGTGGAAGAGTCGGCTCCTTTGTTTGAAAGGGAGGAGTACAAAAGGAACTTGTTATGGTTCAAAAGAACTTTGGAGGACCTTTTGGAATGGAGGGAGTCTGGTTTCGAGATGGGTGCACTGCCGCGTCCGGAAAATCCAGAGAGGGTCCGCCAGAAAGAACTGGAGGCAAAAGAAGAATCGAGACGAATTGAAATGTCATTGATAGGATCGAAGTTAGCAGTCAAGATGTCCTGATTAGTGGTGGATGAAGACAGTAAATATCAATGAAATCCGCATTACGTTTTGTCATGTTGTTATGTCATCCGCTCGATGAACTTTTTCGTACATTGATGTGTTAGTGTTCCTGGACTCAAAA